GGCTACGAACATCTTTCGTTAGCTGCTTGTAGATTTATAGTCTATAGTAAATTCCGCAATGTTTTTAAAACCAGGTCAGTGCCAGCCTTCTTGCTAGGACGTAGAGTCGGCTGTATAAAAAGTAAAATATTAAGAGAGAATAAATACAGATATACTCGAAGTTGATTGCTGTTCAAAAAGCTCTTTGTAAGCTCTTTTCGAGAATCTATTCAGACATTTAAACTTTAATATTCGAAATTCTTTTTATGCTCTAAAGGATATAAGCATGGATGCAACAAGCATTGCTTGAAATACTTGAAAAATCAATGTATATAAAAGAAGTTGAGATTTTCGCTTGTGTGGCTCTACCTAATAATCAGCCGCATATCCCGAAGATGTGGGTTTGATTCCCACAGCGTAAATTACTTCTCGTACTTTTTTCTACGCATTTTAATCTATTTATAGATGGCAAATTCCGTTTTACATTATGCATACACATACTATACTAAACAACTATTTATTAAGTAATAATTAAGAATAACGTCGGTCCAGTTTGTCGGAATATTGGATATACCGACCGTAACCGTTTATTCTCATCTGATCAAAGAAGCTGATTGAAATGCTGCACTACACTTATACAGGCACGCCTAAGGTCATGCTCTCTGTGAATGGGACTCCTTCACATCAGATTAACGCACTGAGACTCGACGGACATAAATAGCAATGGCAACGCATCGTACATATGCGTTGTACAGACAGATAATAACAAGGGACACTCTTAAGCGCTGACAAACTACATAATATGTATGTTCATTTCACTGTTTTTAGTATCTATTCACAGTTCACTTTATGTAGACTACACAATACACGACTTAAGATTAGATTCCAAACATCCGAAAAGTGTAATCTTCATACAAGTTGCTAGAAAAAAATGTTTATTATAAGTTTTAATTTTATTTTCTATGTGACAAGTTGGCAAACGAGCTGGTGGTTAGTGAAGGCTGCAACTTTACTTCAATAGAGCTATGCAGTCGTTTGTGTTACTATGTTTATGTTCAGGGACAACAAAGCCTTAATCACTTAGCATCAGGTGAGCCCGCTGCTCGTTTGCCCCTTTTCTCCATAAAAATAAAAAGTATGACTATTCAAAGCCAATCATCATAGCATGTGGCTGTTTATTTCAGACAGTCTAGACTGGAGGTTTAACATTTACGAATAACTCGCCTTAAAAATTTTCTGTCCCATAGAACTAAGCTCTTGCTTGTCCAGTCCTTAATTTTACCCATTGTTGACTATGCAGATGTGTGTTACCCGGACCTGTCCCAATCTCGTCTTAATAAATTGGAGCGCCTTCTCAATAACTGCATCAGATTCATTTTCGGTTTACGTAAATATGACCACGTATCTTCTTATCGTCGCAAGCTTAACTGGCTTTCTATTCGTCAAAGGCGTTGCTCCAGAATTCTGTTGTTATTGTATTCGGTATTATCTAATCCTAATTCTCCTACATATCTCAGGAATACCTTCCAATTATTTCACTCTGCTTCTGACAGAGTACTTCGTTCCTTTAACCTACATAGGATTCGCATCCCGCAACATAATACAGGATACTTTAACTCTTCTTTTACTGTTCAAGCTACACTCCTCTGGAACGCCCTTCCCGATAAGATCAAAATAGCTCCAAATAAATATACATTTAAAAAGTTAATTCGAGAATACCTATTAAATCAGTGATTTTGTTTGGCTTATCCCATGGTCGGTTTTTATTATCCATATATGTACATCTACAATATTTATGTGTATATATATATATATATATATATATATATATAAACATATATATATATAAACATATATATATATATAAACATATATATATATATATATATATATTTATGTATATATTTTCCTACATTTATTTACTTTACTTTTAGCACCTGCCATCTACTTCTCACCATGACAAGGGTTGACTGGTAGAGAATGCCACTAGGCATTAAGTCCGCCCATTGTAGCCTTTAGTCTAAGGTGTAACAATGAAGTATAAATAAATAAATAACTGGTCCGTAGGTTACTTCACGTCTAATTTGGCTAAAGTTCTCTCATGATGAGATAGATCTTTGCACACGGTGCACTTTCAAAGGTTTAATTGTGTATTATCAAATTTAATAGTAAAGTAATTTTTACCATCTATCTTTAAATCGAACCAAGCGCTGAAAGCATATAAAGCATACGCCAACTTCAAGTTTCGTTTGTTGATTTTCACAAAATATGAAAGGTAGGTAGAATGATCTTAGGTACTTTATTAATGGATAGTTGTCATACTATCCTGCAAGAAGTTGGAATACATCAAAACATGACACAAATTATAATTACATTACACATATCACTACGTGGGGCATAACTAAATAAGGGACAGTGCTCAGAAGTGGTCACGCAAAGACAAAATAAAACCTTAAAACCATTAGTGCAAGCCATTGGAATTCGAATCGGCGATATCAGATTGCGAGTCGACAATCTGGACTTTGTCGTAGTTATATAATTCGTGTTCACACGCACATACAGGGCCTCATATCTAACTAATACAAACAATGAAGGGTAAGATACTTATCTCTCGTTTTTTTTTTTTTTACATTAAAAGCTCGACATCGATCCGGTATAGTTCTATAGATAAAAGAGATGTACTTTGCCCACAAAATAAAACTTCCATTAATTTAGCAACTAATCTACTCTTTAATTCGTACATATCTGGTTGATTTTTTATTACTTATGAGACTAGTGACGCTTTCGTAACTAACCTGTAGTTATCTAAACATCACAGGCAGCGGGAGCGATGATTACTTACTATCAGGCAATAGTTCACCCGCTTAGCAAAAAATCAAAACTACGCTAACTAAGCCACTTTAACTTTACATCAAAGTTATGCGATTAGATATAACTGATTTGCGGATTTATTAGAACTCTGCGTCTACGTCGCAGTGATCGAGATAAATGAGCCACAGTGGAGCTGTATCGACTATCAATAAGTTAGAGGAGACGCGAGCAACATTGACACATCGTCAGACGCGCTTCTATAAAAAGATTTTACGAGCTCCTGAAGAAGTTCAGATTTGATTACTCAAATAAAAACAACATAAGTTTGATTACACAATGAAGAATATGCCTAATAATATCATTAGCATTTATCCATCACTATCTCACTATAGGTGTCCTATTAATTAAAAAAAATAATCCAGTCCAGATATGTTTTCACTGGTGCAAGATCGGAATAAAATATAAACCATGACATTTGTACATCAAAGGCACGATGATATCTGGTGACTACGAATACTGTAAACTAGTAAACTAATTTAAAATTTATTTTAGTCAACAAGCTTTGGGCATGAAGTAAAAGGCATGTATATTTTTGAAAAGTCAGTTTTACCAAAAAATCGTTTTCAAATACACTAATTTGTCGGGTATACACATTCATAACAGATATAAATTCCAAGAAATCACGTCTCGATCGAAATTTAGTAAAATTTGGAACAAATTATTCTCTAGATCACTTGGCAATAAAAAGCGTATTGCGTTCGGACACTACATCGTGTCCTCATCCAGTCATCCTCGTGATGCTCTGATACCAAACTCGATACATACTAAAGGCTGGCACGAACCAGAGCCGTGCGTTTGGACCGATTTATCCACCGGATAATTAGCGGCGGCTTCAAACTGCCGACAGCCGTGATGCCGGTCTCTGCAGTACGTTCCTTGTAACTAGTGCGGCTTAGTTATTTATTCAAATGTATCCGTCGTTTGGGAATGGATCAATAAGTGCTGTAATGAGTAAGTAATGAATCACCCGGTTTTGCTTTGACTAAAAAGTTCAAATGATTACTGAAGTATAGGAAAAAATGTTTTAAGGGAGATTTGGTTCAGTCGCACCACGCATACTTTCCGCACATTTAATGAAATGGGTCAATGACGCTGAATACTGAACGAAATGGAATATTTAAATGAGATAATATTCACACACGAATACTTAGTTTAAGTGATTTTTCGCTACAAATATTTTAAGAGAGACTGAATAAAGTGCATAAGCAATTATATTTAAAATATATTACATTGAAGTCTATGCTTCGGAACTAATTTTTTTAAGTGATTTTAATATATAACTTGAGAGTTTGTTATTGTTGTTGATGCGTGCTGTGTGTTATCCATACACGTCCGCTAGAAACCGCGTGGCTAGTCCAAGTGGGCCGACAATAGTCTATTTTATTTTGTTCGTTCGGCTCATGACGTCCGGACCGGATTGACGACAATGCCTTCCCTCCCGACAGATATCGCGGTGGATCACTCCACTCCATTTAGCGAGTCACGTCTATTGGACAGGATTGGAGTCTACGTATTCGTGCAATTCGTACGGCGTTTCTCTTGCCAATAAGATTTAAATTAACATGTAGCACTCTGCTGTGAGATCGATTTTATCTGTTCTAAAGGAAAGAGACCAATGAGACCTTTTATCCACCATATTATATATATATTCTAAAACAAAAATAATTAATATGTAAGCCGCTAATGGTTACACATAATATAAGACCCTGCCGTAGTATTATTTTTTTCATCAGTATAAAAAATATTATTTTAGTGTATCTATTCTTAACGTAATTTGTGAATAATTTGAATGCCTAAGAACTGGTAGATTGCTTACGGTCAGAGCGCACGCTTTAAATTTATTTTACTTGAGAAATTTTAGTTCAAAATATCAAGAGTCAAGAGTTCAAGAGTCGACATCAGTGAAATTGTTTATTACAATCAATTTTATGTACGCGTGGTGAACGCCCTCATCGATAAGGAAAACATCGCAAAGAAACCTGCATATTTTCTAAATAATATTAATAAAAATTTCATATACATCGAAGGTATGTGTATCCCAATCGGAGGCGGGGTCATGTGGCCTTACTGAGCTTTGCGATATATTGGTTACTTATTGGTTAGACTAAATGTTGTGTGTCGTTAAGGCCTTATTATGTTTTGGGCCGCAGGTGTACCAGGCGAGGGCTTGTCTGGCGGTGGCGGTGGCGGTGGCGGTGGCGGTGGCGGTGGCGAGTGCACTGGCGAGCAGTTCGCGTGCGCTGACGGCTCCCGCTGCGTGCCTGCCGCCTGGCGCTGCGACGGGCGCGCCCACTGCCCCGACGCCTCCGATGAGTTGCATTGCAGTGAGTTGTTACTTGCGCCTAGCTAGTTGTTACTTGCGCCTAGCTAGTTGTTACAAGCGCCTTGCTTTGTCGTTCATTATGAATGTCTTGTCGTCCGAATATTGCGTTGGCGTGAACTCATGAGCTGATGAATCAGGCGGAGTATATAACAATGTTATCATAATGCATTATGGAATAGAACGAATGTACGTAGATGTCAAGACTTTCGCGGTCATCGGCCGCTTAGCTTAGTTGATAAAGCATCTGGACGCGAAACATGAAGACGCAGATTCGAATCGCACAGCTTTTATTCATTAATCTAAAAAAATACTGTTTAATGTTATAATAATGTGAAAAAAGGAAAGGCCCTATATAGATCTGAGTACGAAGATATCATCCAAGAAAGACGAAAGAGAAGAAAATCAAACGTGTGGTCTTTGTAGGTTGGCTACAGTAAGTGAGCTCTCTTATAAAGAGAAAGAGCGGGCTAAAATTACCCGGCCTTAGCGAGTGTCAGCCTCGTTGCCGCCAATGGCGCCGCGGCCGCCGATCCCTATCAACCCGTGCACTGTGTGTCATTGATGCGAGGGTTAGATTAAATGGTTTTATGGCGTATTTGATTGATGACTTTTGCTTGTTTATTAGTTGTAAATATTATTTTGATTTGGATTCCTATATTATATGATTTCGTTAGACGTTATTAAAAAAAGGAGCTTTTCCAAAAGTTATCCTTTGGTGATGGGATTTTACCCTTCTCTTAAACTGTAAACTCACCACAAGTCAGCCTTGGGAAGGTTCGTACGCTCTCCAGCTCCCAATATAGCAGTTAAGTATAGCAGTTTGATATAAAACGAGATCTTTTTCTTTTGGAGTCCTGTCCTTACCGCTTTCACTGTAATGGGAGTTCGAGGCCTCATCCCGATCGCACGCAAATCTAGTGAATCCATTTAGCCATCTTTAACGTTAAAAATGCATTTGTAAAAATGAACTGACCAGTGAGAAAAGGCTTAGATGATGGTGCGCTGTTGCAATTCATAAATTTAAATCAAATTTAGATTTTTCACTGTCGTATGCTATTTCTGTAGCCGCTCGGGTAATTCCACTTTTATAAGTATCGCAATATTCAATTTGGGCTCGGTACAAACTGGAATGGGTCCCTCTCACCTATCGCCGAGTGTAGTGTAGTGTAGTGCAAGTGGGCTCTGATGCGTGTGCGTGCGTGCGCGCGCGTTTGCAGCGTGGAACGTGAGCTGCGGCGCGGGCCAGTTCCGTTGCGAGCGCAGCGGGCTGTGCGTGGCGGCCGGCTGGCGCTGCGACGGCGACGCAGACTGCGGGCCCCACGACGACTCCGACGAGAACCCATTCATGTGTGCGTACCCAACGACCACAATACAATACAATGAATATTCTTATGTTAGGCAACTGCTCGATTCTCATTGCGCGTCGGCGTGCGCAGGCGAGAAGGAGTTCCGGTGCCCGGGCAACGAGGCGCGCTGCGAGAGCCCGCTGGGCGGGCGCTTCTCGTGCGTGCCCGTGGCCGCCTTCTGCGACGCGCGCCGCGACTGCCTCGACGGCAGCGACGAGTGGGACATCTGCGACAACTGTGCGTGCACCCACCACTCCTAGTAAAAGCCACTTCAATGCTAGAATTATCATAGTGCTAGAGTTTTGTATGTCTAAAGTGATATCAATGGGATAAGCACCATCAATATTGTTCACTTTTTCATAATACAAGTTTGCAAAGATATATTTAGTGCATCTGCCATCTGCTTGTACAACATATTTTTGCTCCCATGATCGTCATTGCATATTTTTGCACATCGTGCATAGTGATACAGTACTCATCATACCTTTATGGTGTGTTCACTGATGCAGTCACGAAGTCGCAGTGCGCGGGGCTGGGGTGCGCGCACGAGTGCCGGCCCACGCACCAGGGCCTGGCCTGCTTCTGCCCCCGGGGCTACGAGCCCCAACTCGGACGCTGCGTGGGTGAGTGGCACGCCGCGTGTGGACCGCACGGGTGGGCAGCTGACGGTCGGGGCACGTCTTCTCATGTGGCGATGGGTGGCGATTGTTGCAGACACCGACGAGTGCGCGCGCGAGGAGACGTGCGCACAACGCTGCACCAACTCGGCCGGCTCCTACACGTGCTGGTGCGTGGCCGGCTACGAGCTGCAGGCGGACGGCTCCACTTGCGCCGCTATCAATGGTGACCCTAACGTTTAACACTAATGAGCCCTTCATTACTGAAAAGAAAAGTAATCGTTTTGTTGCTCAACGATGAAACACGTAGAAGTCCTCTCTAAAAGTATTCTGTGTCCGCTATCATTGTGAGAACGGGGCGTGTGTGTGTGCGCGCAGAGCCGGCTGCGGAGCCGCTGTCGCTGGTGGTGGGCACGACGGCGGGCGTGGCGCGCGTGTGGCCGCGGCGCCCGCCCGCCGCCGCCCAAGACGACGCGCTCCTCTCTCGCGCCGCCCTCGGCGTGCGCGCTCTCGACTTCCTCTACGACAACAGGTGGCGCCCAATTCGCTACCTACATTACGACATTCTTTAGCGACCCGTCTCTCCTGTCTCATTTAAAAGTTTGTTAAGATTATTTACAAACAACCGTATAAGAGATTGCAAAGAATCTAAAACAAATTTATAAAAGTACTCTTAAAATATGACTGTGCCATTTGTGGAAACAAACGATATATATGTGTATATGAAAAAATTAAAATCATGAATATTAAAGAACCTGCTTCAAAGAAGAAGGAGTAAAAATTTTCTGATTGTTTTAGATATTCACATGTAAGTAATTTTTTAATAAAAAATAAATTCCTTATACTCAACATTAAATTTCAATATACCTAAAAATGGGACCATGATTATTTATGTCATTGCTTGCGTTATTGACTCGCAGATCGATCTGTTACGTGCACACAAACGTGAGCCGCTCGAGCATCGTGTGCGTGCCGGCGGACAACATGACGCAGTACAGCCTGGTCCTTCCCACGCCGGATCTTTTCCCCGATGTCGATTGTGAGTGAGCGCTCAGCTCTTTGAAATTTACTGAATAATAAGAAATGGTAAGTGCATCTCGTTCGGCAGCGGTGAACCACCTCGCCATCGACTGGGTGTCGGGCAACTGGTACGTGAGCGACGAGGCGCGCGAGGCGCTGTACGTGTGCGACCGCAGCGGCCGCCACTGCCGGTTGCTGGTGGAGGGGCTGAACAAGCTGCACGGGCTGGCCCTGGACCCGCTGCACGGGTGAGTGTCCGGGCGCCGGCGGGGGCGGGGCGGGGGCGGGGCGGGGCGTGGCGTGCGACGCTGACGGGCTGGTTGGCGGCAGGCTGATGTTCTGGTCGGCGTGGGGCGCGGCGCCGCCGGCGGTGATGCGCGCGGCGCTGGACGGGCGGGCGGCGCGCGCGCTGGCGGCGCACAAGCTGGTGTACCCGGGCCCGCCCGCGCTCGACCTGGCGGCGCGCCGCGTCTACTGGCCCGACGCCTACCTCGAGTGCCTCGAGCGCGCGGACTACGAGGGCAAGCACCGCGCCACCGTGCTGCGCGGATACAGCGTGAGCGCTCGCCGCTTTCCTCGAACTTTCAATCCGTGCACAAACCCGCAAGTCTCGATCGTTTCGAGTGTGGCGTTGCAGAGCCAGCGGCTGCAGCGCATCGCGGTGCTGGGCGGCGCGCTCTTCCTGCCGGCGTGGGAGGCGCGCGCCGTGCGCGTGGCGGCGCTGCGCGGGCCCGACGCCGAGCTGGTGCCGCTGCGCACCAGGCCGCTCGCCGCGCTCGCCTTCCACCGCCAGGCGCAGCCCCGAGGTCCGTCCTTTCACACCGTCCGATGCCTGGGGCGCGAACGGCTCTCATCAACTCCTCTTCTCGTAGTGGCCCACCCGTGCGCGAGGAACAACGGCGGCTGCGCGCACATCTGCGTGGTCGCGTATCGCGACGAAATAGGGGTGGCGCAGTGCATGTGCAAGCACGGCTACCGCCTCGCCGGAGAGCACGCGTGCGTGCGTGAGTATGATAACTCCACTTCTACGGGTGGAATGAGACACGAAGAACGCGGTTCGCGAGTGTGAAAGGTTCCCCTTCGTGGCGCAGGGGCGGAGCTGGACAGCTACCTGGCGCTGTGCCGCGGCGCGCCCGCCATGGTGCAGGCGCTGGCGCTGGACGCGGCGCACCTCGGCTGGGAGCCGCTGGCGCCCGCCACGCGCGCCTCCCGCCCCACCGTGGCCGACGTGGACCTGCGCGACCGCCGCCTCTACTACTGCGACGTGCACAGGTGCCGCGCCGCCCCCGCCCCTCTCGCCCCCCCATCCAGTCGCCCTCACGTCACGCCGTCGGCTGCTCCTCCGCAGGTACGAGATCGCGCGCCAGCGGCTGGACGGCACCGAGCACGAGATCTTCCTCAACGAGGACGTCGACAACTGCGAGGGGCTCGCCATCGACCCCATCGGTAGGGCCCGAATCGAGACTATCTGCTATCAACCTGTTGAATGTACACAATCCGTGCTAAGCATAACGGCGCGCAGGCCGCAACGTGTACTGGACGGACGACACCCTGGGGCGCGTGTCGGTGGCGCGGCTGGACGACGCGCGCGTGCGCATGGTGCTGGTGCAAGAGGAGCACTACAACCCGCGCGCCATTCTGCTCGACCCGCCCAACGGGTAAGCTCGGCCCGTGGGAACATTTGTTTTAGCTAGAAACAGTGAATAGAGTTCAAAAGCGGTGAGCATGAGTGGTTCCTTGGGCGTTGCAGCGCCATGTACTGGTCGGTGTGGGCGAGCGCGGTGGCGGCGCGCGGGCGCATCGAGAGCGCGTGGATGGACGGCTCGCAGCGGCACACGCTGCTCGACGAGGGGCTGCACTGGCCCAACGGGCTCGCGCTCGACGCCGACACCACCACCCTGTACTGGTGAGGGCACCTCCGACCGTCTGCTCGCTCCTCACAACCGACACGTTACCGCTGCTACATCGACGTTCCATCCCACGCTGCGCAGGTGCGACACCTACCTGAATAAGATCGAGCGGTTGCGCATGAGCCCCGACGGCAACCACGTGCGCGAGCTGCTCCTGCAAGACGAGCCAGGCGCACCGCTCAAGAAGCCCTACGGTCTGGCGCTGTACGAAGGTGACCGCTCCCGTATGGTCCTTCGGACCGGATCGCTCTGTGCTATTGCGGCCATCATTCCGCGATCCTGGCCCATTGACCGACCAGACCGTGTACGTGCGCAGGCGCAGTGCTCTGGAGCGAGCACGGCACCGGCTACGTGAAGCGGCGCGACGTCGACGGGCGCGTTTCCGTCTTGGCCGCCCTGGCGCCCCCGCTCTACGACCTCCGCCTCGTGTCCAACACCGCTCTCATAGGTGGGGTGCATTCGCTCAACGCGAAAATTGTTTTACGGATTTTCTCATGTTTCCAAACACTTTGAATTTGTAAACTATGTTAATTAGTTTTATCCGACGCGATAGTAATATTTTTTAAAAAATTTAATAACTTTATGTTTTTAATTTTTTTTAACTCTTATGCGAATATGGCCATAAACGTGGGCATGACCATAGACAAAAAAATTGAGAGAGATCAGTTTTTATATGTTAATTTAATTTTGTGTGTTAAATGAAAGTGGTTAAACTGATTTCTGGAGGCAATTTGAACGTTGCACGTCTAAAGTTTCACGCCGCTCGGGGAACGGCTTAAATGTGGTCTCGCGGCAGGCAGCAACGCGTGCTCGCGCGATAACGGCGGCTGCGCCGAGCTGTGCCTGGCGGCGGGCGCCGGCCGCACGTGCGCGTGCGCGGCGGGGGCGCGCGCGGGCCCGACGGGCGCCTGCCCGCCCCCCGCCGCCCCCGACGACCCCCCGCCCCCCCGCGCCCTCGCCCCGCTGCGCCCCCGCGCACTTCCACTGCGGCAGAGGGTACGCTCATTTCAAAATAAAGTGCGTGTCCACGACACTAACATTTTTACCATTTTATATATTTACTTTCATATTGTTCAATAATAATAGTGTACAAAATAACTTTAGATACCAGTATTTTCTCAAACGCACCCACACACCGACTTGAAACTTCGACAACAATACTATTCTCATCATTTACAGTAAGTCTTAGCAAAGAAACCTTTTTAACCGACTTCAAAAGGAGGAAGTTATACAATTCGGATCATTTTATTTCTTTTATGTGTGATTGGACATAAATCCGTGTTATATAGAAGGATTTGCAACATTTTTTTTTTTGTGTTCGAAAGGGTTTTATTTCGAAATGGTCCCATATAAATTTCATATAGATCTGATGATGACTTTCGGAGATAGACAACAGAACTCTTTAAATAATGACAGCAAATCAACCGCGATTGCAAATATCGCTTGAATATCACACAACATAACGTTTTCCTTTTTCAGTCCGAGTTTCAGTTTGATACTGTTTTCTCATACGAAAGGCGTCAATGTTAGGTCTTCCCATATTTTATATTCCCTAAATATTAAAATTCAATCACTAAAAATAAAAACTTAAAAAAGAACTATTAGCACTAAAAAGTTTATAATAATACAAAATCTTGAATATCTAACCTATGTAACCTAACCTACCTAATTTCTAACATAATTTAACAATTTTGGGCGATATAATTGATTGCATAGAGTTTTTTGAAGTTGGTTCTTTTTTTTGTTAAAAAGATTTTTATGGGTTAGGTTGTTATTGGAATGCAGTTTCCGCAATGCCGAAGGCTTTTCTTCACTTATTTACGAAATTTTGCATTTTAAATTAAAACGTTTTTTTTTCAGACGGCTTCAAACTGAACTATTATAGTATAAATTAATGTGTAGTGTATATTAAAAAGAAGTAAGTGTACACCTTTGATTATATACTTGACAAGTATGTGATGAAAAAATCAAATTGTCTCAGACGCTGCATAGATATGTCGCTGGTGTGCGACGGCGACGCCGATTGCCCCGACGGCTCCGACGAGGATTCCTCGCCCACCGGACCCTGCGGTAAATTGACCCTAATATACATTGATCCACGTATAAGGATTGTGTTTGATTATTTGTATTGTTATAAACTGCGTATAACGTTCGGCAGCGAACGTGACGTGCAACGAGGAGCAGTCCCTGCAGTGCGACACCAACCGCTGCATCCCCAAGAGCTGGGTGTGCGACGGGCTGAAAGGTGGGTGCCGCGGGGCTAGTGGCCGGGGCCGAGCGCCGCGTTGACCCTGACGTGTTTGCTGTGTGTCGCTGTGCGCAGACTGCACGGACGGCGCGGACGAGACGGCGGCCGCGTGCGCGCGCTCCGCCTGCCCGCCGGCGCAGTTCGCGTGCGCGCGCTCCCGCCGCTGCCTGCCGCGCGCCTGGCGCTGCGACGGCGCCCCCGACTGCGGCCCCGCCGACGACAGCGACGAGCGCGGCTGCGGTATGCCCCGCCCCCGCCCTCCGCCCGCCGCCCTCCGCGCCTCGCCCCTTCTCACGGCCGCGCGCCCCTTGCAGCGAGCCCGGAGTGCGGCAGCGGCATGTTCAAGTGCGCGAACGGCGCCTGCGTGCCGTGGGAGTACTACTGCGACGGGCGCGCCGACTGCGCGGACGCGTCGGACGAGCGCGGCTGCCGCGACGCGCCGCGCACCTCGCCCGCGCCGAGGCGCCCCTCGCACCCGCGCACCCAGTCAGGCCCCTTTCCGTATTAGCTAAGGTTTAGCGTGCTCGTCCACTTCTCAACGGCTCCTGCCCCGTTCTGTCCCCAGCCACCACCGCAACGAGACCGACAAGCACGGCCTGTGCGAGGATCACGAGTTCCAATGCGAAAATCGGGAGTGCATACGAATGGTAGGTTCGTTCGTCCGCACGGCAAGTTGCTCTCACTCTTGCACCGATTATTCGACACGACGCCCCGGCCGCAGGAGTTCCGGTGCGACGCGCGCGTGGACTGCCTCGACGGCTCGGACGAGGCGGAGTGCGCGGCCGCGCCCGGCGGAGGCACGTCCGTCGCCCCCGCCCCCGCCCCCGCCCCGCCCCCGTCCGCGCCCCCGTCCGCGCCCCCCGCCGCCGAGTGCGCGCCGCCCGCGCTGCGCTGCGACGGCGCGCGCTGCGTGCCGCTGCTGCAGCTCTGCGACGGCGTGGCCGACTGCGCGGACGGCGCCGACGAGGCTGACCGATGCGGTGAGCGCTGCCATCAACCGTACTCCGAGCTAATTTTCGGCGTATTGTAAACATATCCGTATTATTATTGTATCTAAGCTTTTATAAAAACATATGTTTTACAAATTTAAATTGTTTATAGTGCTAATCTTTGCACTTAAGATTGAACATTAAAATATGTAGAAAAAGTGCGAGTTTGTATGCTGGAAAGGATATAACAATAGATGGCACCAAGCATTGCTTCAAATGCTAAGAAATCAATGTGGAAGAATTCGTTAAGATTTTCGTCGGTGTGGCAATCAGCCGTTTAGCTTAGTGGCTAGAGCGTCAGGCCGCGAATGCCGAAGACGTGGGTTCGATTCCCACAACAGCGACAATCTTTTCGCACTTTTTCTACATATTTTAATATGTTTTACAATCTTTCCATAAATAATGTTACAACACAGAAGCAAAATTTAGCTTTCTTTCTAACGTTCCTTTTAACGTTTTATGTTCGTTTTACGTTCTAATAGAAAATATGTACACTTTGCATTATATTCTTCTCGTAACATGGTGAATAAGTTTTAACGCTTGCTCAAAAATGTTATCTAAATAATATTATATTCGCCAATTACACAAACATCGAGCCAAATATATAAGGTATTATCAAATGTTCGAAAGTTAAATTCAGATTGAATGCAAGTGTAGGTAAATCCACCGACCGAACATTCGGCTCGGCGTTGTCATTTTATGCACCAATGTGATACCACACAATTGTATATACATTGTGTTATATATATATACATGCTCTCTATAGTATTAGCATACGCTATAAAAACTGTTGCTACGTACCTCCACCCGTGTTGCCACTTGAACGCCGGAGCTGGCGCAGGGGAGCCGATGTGCGAGGCGGCGCCCTGCACGCACGGCTGCCACCCGACGCCGGGCGGGCCCGCCTGCACGTGCCCGCCGCCGCTGCACCTGCAGCGCGACGCCGCCTCCTGCGCGCCGCGCCACGCCTGCGCCGACTGGGGCGTCTGCAGCCAGGTGCGCCGCCCCCCCCCCCTATATCTCCCGCGCCCCCGCCCCTCGCCCGCCACTCACCCGCCCTTCGCCCCCTCCGCAGACGTGCCAGCCGCAGAAGAGCCGCTACAAGTGCACCTGCTACGAGGGCTACCGGCTCGCTGACGACGGGTTCACCTGCAAGAGCACAGGTTCGCACTCATTATGCATGACGGCTAATGTACACCTTTAAGTGAAATAATCGTAATTACACATAATATGTGGCATATACAGACAAGGTGCGGCCGCTGCTGGTGTACAGCAACCGGCACGAGGTGCGCGGCGTGGAGCTGCCGTCGCTGTCGTCGCGCGCGCTGGTGGCCTCGCTGAAGAACACCATCGCGCTGGACTGGCGCCGCGACCCCGCCACCAACGACACGCACCTCTACTGGACCGACGTCGTCGACGACAACATCTACCGCGGCACCCTGGCCGGCACCGGTGCGCCCCCGCCCCTCCGCCCCTCCGCCCTCCACTACTCCCTTGCCCCCGAGCCTGGCTAATCTAGATGTGGTTACTCAGCGCTGAGCGGCATCGAGGTGGTCGTGCAGCAAGGCCTCTCGACGGCGGAGGGCCTCGCCGTCGACTGGGTGGCGGGCAACCTGTACTGGGTGGAGAGTAGTTTGCATCAGATCGAGGTAACATATATCTTTTATGTAAACTTTTAAATGGGTTAAAGTTTGTGATCAATTATCTGAATAAATAAAAAAAATACACGTGGGTTATAGGTGGCCAGAGTGGACGGCAAATATCGGCGCACACTCATCGCGGAGGACATGGAGAGTCCGCGGGCGATCGCCGTAGATCCGAGGAAGGGTGAGTGGGCTCGGGGCGAGGCTGGCGGCGGAGGGGGAGCGGTCGGTCGGAGGAGTGACGGCGGCCCGACGCTCCGCAGGGTTCCTGTTCTGGAGCGACTGGGAGGCGGAGGCGCCGCGCATCGAGCGCGCCTCGCTGGCGGGGCGGCGGCGCGCGGCCATCGTGCGCGTGGACGCGCTCAGCGACGGCGCCTGGCCCAACGGCATCGCGCTCGACCACCTCGCCGAGCGGCTGTACTGGATCGACGCCAGGTGGGCCTCGCCGTCCGGCGCGGCGAGTGGCGCGACGCCCGCTCGGCGGCCGCTTCAACGACGCCTCCGCCCGCAGGTCGGACTCCATCCACACGACCACCTACTCGGGCGACGACCACCGCGAGGTTCTGCGCGGCCACGAGGCGCTCTCGCACCCCTTCGCCATCACCGTCTTCGAGTCGCACGTGTACTGGACCGACTGGCGCAGCAACAGCGTGGTGCGCGCCAGCAAGTGGGACGGCAGCGGCGTCACCGTCGTGCAGCGCACGCTCACCCAGCCCTTCGACATCAAGGTCAGGTACCGGCGGGCGGTACGCGCGGTAAGCGCGGGCCTCGCCCACCGGCGCGGCTCGCCTTGAACGAACCGACGGCGCAGGTGATCCACCCGAGCCGGCAGCCGCCCGCCGCCTCGAACCCGTGCGGGGAGCGGAACGGGGGCTGCTCGCACCTGTGCCTCATCGACGCGCCGGACGCGCGCGTCTGCGCCTGCCCGCACCTCATGCGCCTGGCGGCCGACCAGCGCACGTGCGAAGGTGCGCCGCCTCACCCCGAACGGAGCGGCCGGGGGGGCATCGGCTCTACGTGGGTCGTGGTCTGTCCCCAGCGCACGAGCGGGTGCTGCTGATCGGGCGCGAGGGCGAGATCCGCGGCGTGGACGCGGCGGCGCCGCTGGAGGCGCTGGTGCCGGCGGTGGCGGGGCCCGACGTGGCGGCGCCGGCGCAGCTGCAGGTGCTGGCGGGGGAGCGGCTCGTGTACTGGGCCGACACGGAGGCGGGCGAGGTGCGGCGCACGCGGCTCACGGGCGGCGCCGTGGCGGCCGTGGTGGAGCGGCTGGCGTCGGCGCCGCGCGGCCTCGCGCTCGACTGGGCGGCGCGGCTGCTGTTCTACTGCGCGGGCGACGCGCTGGCCGTGGCCAACCTCGACGGCGAGATGACCGCCGACCTGCTGCGGGACCCCGACCTCGTGCACCTCACCGCGCTCGCCGTCGACCCGCTCAGGTCCCTCGCGCGTTCAACGTTTTATTCCGGCCCGAGTTGCTGAAGCGTGCAAATCAGCGATATATTGTAACTGGTTTTCGCTCGTTAGAAGCGAGGTCATGGCTCTATTTATCGCCTTCAGACATATTCCTAACGGTTATTGGGAGCACTCGATTCTTTTTATTCTCGAATGTGTGAATTTAATTTTGCATCCCTAAACACCTTATACTGTTGGGATGTCATAAAGGGGGGTCAAGTATACCAAAAAGGGGGTAAGTTATTTGCGAGAGCGACTTATTGAAGCCGCTAAATCTACCGTAAGGGACACATTGTTAAGAAACGTGAGAAAATTTGTGACGGTTTTACACCCGTGTTGTTCGGAACCTTTATATCTTAAAAGTTACTAGTGCCCAACGAAATTCGAAGCCGCGCGTCCAACCGTAGGGGCCAGCTGTACTGGGCGCTGGGCGCGGGCGCGGCGGGCGGCGAGCGCATCGAGGCGGCGCGCGAGGACGCCAGCGCGCGCACCACGCTGCTGCGCGCGCGCGACCACGCGCTGCTCGCCGGAGTCAGCGGTGCGTATGCGTATGCCCTCCCTCTCACTCCCACCTCGACTCTCCCGGTGACCGAGCACGCTGTCCACAGGCATGTGCATGGACGTGGACAACGACCGGCTGTACTGGGTGAACTCGGGCACCGCCACCATACAGTATTACGAAGTCAGCAACGGGCGACTGTCCACCGTGAGTGATTCAGATTATCGATCATAAATTATTTCATATTGTTTATATATATGGCGTGTCGTTACCACCGCGACAATAAATGAGCACACGTCTAACGCTATTTGCCAATAATCATAAAAAATATTAACGTTAAACAAAATCCATAATTAAAAAAAAATATTTTTTCAAACAAACTAATTAAGTAAAAAAGAAACAAAATTTGTAACATCCTATACAACTCGCGCCACAGCGTCGTATTACAAGCCTCTCCTTCTAACAGTATGTTTTGTCTCTTTTAAATTCATTCAACCCATTCATATGCTGTGTTTTGTTTACAAATGAACTTTAAGTTACAGTTTTATACATAGTTATGCGACCACCCGGGCGCTTGATAAGAACACCTGCATTCGAGACTGCTCAGTCAGCATAGCGATAACAGTGGTCGAATAACAATTCTTGAGAAATTGCTAACGAAGATAAAAGCATCAGGTTCGCCAGTAACAATTCTCATGAAACTGCTAACGCAGATATAAGCATCCTGTTCGCCAGACAGTAAAGTGAGAATTGTTTATATTAGATAATAAAGTTAGAAATGTAAGACATAATTGTAAGACACAAAACTGGCAGTCGTCAGGAGCATCTCAATCTGTTCGGACGTCTCACGAGTCGTCTCTAGCATCTAAATCTGTTAAGACACTCACTAGTAATAAGATTAATTTTTAAATAAGTAAAGTATTAATTTTTAAATAAAACTTTTAAAAAAAGTCTTTGTCGCTCCCTCAAACTTGACTGGCGCAGCCGGTAGGATCGCCCGGTTGGCTTCGCTGTCTTTCGCGAGAACTTCAAAAGTAGAAGTACTACGTAATCCGCAATTCAAAACGTGCGTGTACGTGGTTCGCGATTGTACGGCGTGCGAGGCGATCCAGAAGAACCAAATAAATTCGTCGAGTACTACGGAGAGCATGGTGCTGAACGGCTGGTGAGTGAATTTTTTCGCCATCCTTTCTTACCTTACCTTGTTATAGTTGGAATCGAACCTTTTCCATTATAACTTATCTGGCTTACCTCAGAATCGGTAAATCAGTGTATTAGTTAATTAAGAAAAGTAATTATAGAATTTATCAAAATGATTACAATTAAGATTATTCCAAATGAAATGATTAAACTTATTCCACTTTTTGGAGGAGATAAATGCCAATTAAACTTATTTTTAAGAAAATGTGAGTACATAATTAATAATTATCAAGGTTCACAAGAACAAAATGTTTATGTAATGCACACAATCACTAGTAGATTAAACGATGAAGCCGCCGCATTAATAAGCGAGCGCGAGGATATTACGTCATGGTCAGAATTTAAGGAATTACTTATCCAACATTTCGGTGATCCTAGAAGCGAAGAATGTATCGCGATCGATCTTGAAAGCGCAAAAATTAAGCAAGGGGAAACATATCTCGAATTCTGTAATCGTATACAATCCATTAGATCAGTTTTAATATCGAAGGTAAATCAATTAGCAAATAAGGATACTAGGAACGCCAAAATTACGATATACAATAACACAGCGCTTAACGTTTTCTTATTTAATTTACCGGAAAACATGATTCGAGTAGTTAGATTAAAATCACCAGAAACTTTAGAAAAGGCCTTAGAATACGTACTAGAAGAAGTAAACTTTTATGAGCAATATAACTTTAAAAATAAATTAAATAGACAACAGACAACGAATAGCCCTGCATTTAAATTTAACATTCCCAATAGTTCTTCAAACATTCCTAATATGTCTAGCGAACCAGGTATGTTCATGCAGCCTAGCGGATTTAAACCCATGCTGCAAGGAATAAATCCACCTCAATTTAAATTCGGCATTCCTAATAACCAAATTAGATGGCCACAACAACAATTTCCACAAAAACTGTACAACGCCCAACCGCAGTTTGGATATAGACCACAGTTTGGATATAGACCACAATTTGGATATAGACCACAGTTAGGTACGCAGCGTTTTATGCCACCCTCTCAATTTAATAAACCAAACCCGCAACAAAATTTCGGTTATCGTCCCCAATTCAACCAAGGACAAATGGGTTACAAGCCACCGCCTACTAATAAAGCTGTTGACACGGACGTTTCGATGCGCACCGCCCCACCGCTAAAACCTCATGGGCAAACACAGCCACAAGGTTTTCGTCTTAACGGATTAGAACTAGGTGAACAAGGCTATTACGAGGATTGGGAGAATGCCTATTGCACTTATGACGATAGTGAGGGAAATTGGTTGCAAGAGGATGAAAGTTATTCTACGGAGTATGCAAAGGAGATGAATGAAAGAGAACAAACAAAGGAGACTGTAACGACCGATAATTGTAAACAGGCCCAAGTTCAAAATTTTCACATAAGAACCTCAATACCCAATCGGAGATAGTACACCTTAATTGCGACGTAAAACTTAAATTACCATACATATACATACCGGAAATTGATTCTAAATTCATGATTGACACAGGAAGTACCAGATCTTTCATAAGTCCTTTTAAAGCGCATGAATTTTTTGAATTGTACAAGATTTGCGAACCTTTTACAGTAATTAATACCCACGCAGCTAGTAGTCATAACGAAGTAGTTCAAATCCCACTTATGCCATCTTTTAACAGCAATAAAGTACATAAATTTTACGTATATAATGTAGACACAAAATACGACGGACTTATAGGTAACCTTCTAACGCAATTAGAGGCAGTCATCGACTTAAAAAACTCACAGTTAATTACCAAGACAACAACTCTTCCTATTGTCAATGAAGGCAATTGTATAATAGAATTAGAACCGCGAACGGAACAACGCGTAAAACTACCCACCGATCAATTCTCCGGGGAAGCTATTTTGAATTTTACACAATTTGGCGAAGGAGTTAGAATGCCAGCAGCAATAGTAAAATGTGAGAACGGTTACGCTACAACTATTATTCAGAACACTTTAAACGATCAAATGACTTTGACTATTACAAGCCCATTTAAAGTTAGCAAATATTCTGAAAATAATATCCGGATGAACTGTACTGACATTGAAGTGACAGATATTGAAGTAGACAAAATTCTTAGCGACAACTTGACCAGACTACGACTTGACCATATGAACGACGAGGAAAAAAACAAAATTAGCCAATTATGCAGAGAATATAAAGACATATTTTATAGCGACTTACTACCCTTAACTTTCACTAATCAGGTAAAACATTCCATTAGAACAAAAAATGAAGATCCCATATATGTTAAACCATATAGATTACCTCTCGCACAAACAGAAGAAATTAGGGAACAAGTTAAGAAATTGTTAAAAAATAATGTAATTAGGGAATCATATTCACCATGGAATGCACCGGTTCACCTCGTGCCAAAAAAAATGGACGCTTCAGGTGAAATAAAATACCGCATGGTCGTAGACTATAGACGACTTAATGACTTGACTGTAGACGACAAATACCCATTACCCAATATCACAGATTTATTTGACAAGTTAGGCAAAAGTAAATACTTTACAACACTTGATTTGGCTAACGGTTACCACCAGATTGAAATAGATGAAAAAGACAGACAAAAAACCGCGTGCACTGCTGACGGACATTACGAATTCTTACTTATGCCGTTGGGTTTAAAGACAGCTCCTGCTACTTTTCAAAGAGCTATGGACAACATATTACGAGGACTTCAGGGACACCATTGTCTAGTTTACATGGACGATATCATTATATATAGTACCAGCTTACAAGAACACATTAACGACTTAAGAGCCGTATTCGACCGACTTAGACAGAATAACTTGAAAGTACAATTGGATAAATCAGAGTTCGTACGAAAGGAAGTGTTATACTTAGGACATACGATAACAGACCAAGGACTTAAACCGAATGACGCAAAAATCAAAGCCGTATTAGACTATCCCTTACCTAGAACAGTGACTGAAATAAAGAGCTTTTTAGGTTTAATAGGCTACTATAGACGCTTCATAAAAGATTTCGCAAAAGTAACCAACCCCTAACTTCTTGTCTAAAGAAACGTAACAAAATCGTAATTGATCTAGAATATGTCGATGCCTTCGAATGTTGCAAGGAACTACTGACTAACGCACCTATCCTTCAGTATCCTGACCCATCGAAACCATACATCTTAACAACTGATGCATCTTCCGTGGCCTTAGGAGCCGTTTTATCCCAAGGAACTGTAGGCAATGACAAGCCAATTGCGTATGCAAGTAGAACTTTGAGCGACACCGAATCACGATACAGTACGATAGAACGCGAACTCTTAGCAATAGTATGGGCCGTTAAACATTTTCGACCATATCTTTATGGCCAAAATTTTACAATTTACACCGACCATCGACCATTAGCATGGTTAAACTCATTAAAGGAACCTAACAGTAAACTCACGCGATGGAGATTAAGGTTACAGGAATATCAGTTCAATATCATTTATAAAAACGGGAAACAAAACACGAACGCTGACGCATTGTCTCGAATAAAACTCAACGCTTTAGATGATGATGTGTCAATGAAGGTACATGTAGATAAGGATGAAAGAAAGAGAGTTAATGATAGAAGGGCGAAAGAAATAACAAGAATAGACAGTGAAGAAACAATAACGATATCAGATACTTCCGAAACTATCACAGGTAGCGATATATACGAGTTGGAACAAACATACCCCCTTCCACCATCATCGAGTAGCACTGAAACAGCACATTCAGCTTTAGACTTAGAAAATAAAGCAATCCCTATTCTAAATGAAGCGATTGATACCAAACCTAACCAAATTTTGGTATTCACTTGGTTAAAAAATAACGTACAAGTACGAAACCTTTCTAGGGACAAACAAAAGATCCTTGAGGTATTCTTGCCCTTAAACAACGAAGAATTAATAAAACAATTTTTAAAAGAATATATAAAGCCCAAAACAAAATACTTTATATACTTTGAAGACGAACAGAACAGGAGAGAATTTAATAACGTCATTATAAAATTATTTAAGGAAGGAATAGTAGAGTTTTATGAATGCACTGAAAGAGTTGTGTATGTACAGGATGAAAGAGAGCAGAAAGCAATTATTTTAAAATATCATGAAGGAAAAACTTGTCACCGAGGTATAAAAGAAACTATGCTAAGGACTAAAAGAAATTACTTTTGGAACAACATGCAAGAATTAATATCATCCGTAATAAATGCTTGTGAAACTTGTAGGAAATTTAAATACGATAGGAAACCGCTAAAACCTTCCACACAGTTAACTCAAACGCAAGACGCACCCTTTCAAGAACTATTCATGGACACATTAAGTATAGAAAACCGTTACTATTTAACTATTGTAGATGCTTTTAGCAAGTTAGCGCAGGCCATAGAAATTAATACTAAATCCACAGCCGAAGTAGTACGTGCCTTAATCAAGTACTTTTCTATGTACGGTGTACCAAAAAAGATAAGCTGCGATCCAGGCTCGGAATTCAATAACGAGCTTATGAGAGAACTAATGTCTATGTACAAAATCGAATTACACATATGTACAACGAACAATCCAAATTCGACTGGAATCGTTGAACGTTTTCATTCTACATTAATAGAAATATACCGTTTAGCTAAGTATGAACAAAAATGTACCGATGCCGCATCAATTATGACATACTCCATAATGGCTTACAATAACACAATCCATTCAACAACGGGCTTAACCCCATTCGAAATCGTGTTTGGTCATACTGACTCAAATAAAGCTTTTGGCGGGGAGTTCGAAAAGTTTTAAACGCAACAACTGTTGAAAGATCATGCAAAGCGCACGCGATATTTGTACCAATACATTTCCAATAAACTAACGGAGAAAGAGAGAAACATTATAGAAAAACAGTTAGGCGAAAACGTAGAGTTTAAAGAGGGCGATGTAGTGTTCGTAAAGGACATTAATACACGAAAAAGTAAGGATAAAGCTAGGTACACGAAAGCGAATGTTATAGGAAAGGAAACAAGAAATATAGTTCCGGTTAAATTAGGAAAAAGGGAGACAAAAATAGCAATAAAAAATATTAAACGTCCTCCGCAGGTGCTGCGTGCTCGTAATGATTCTCCTACCCAGCAGCCTGGGCCTTCATCTTCAAAAACTTGAAGGAAACCCAGGAATATTACCAGTTAAGGAAGGACTAGCTTATAGGCAGGAAGATAAGTGGCTTATAATAAAAAGATTTAGTTTCGATAGTTTGGAAAAAGATCTTCAGGACAATATACGGAAATTCAAAGAATTTGTTAAATTAGTAGACTCACACAAACCATTTATTCACGAATTTTTAGGAATAAAAACGCAAGTAGATTATTTAATGAATATAACAATATCGAAATTTCGGCAAGTACTTCCATCTCATAGAGTTAAGCGAGGTCTTATCAACCCTCTTGGTTCAGTCATAAAAGCCATCTCAGGACACTTAGATTATACGGATGCGATTCGTTATGATAGAGAAATATCGATGTTGGGTTCTAAGGAAATTATTCAGGACAAAAAGATTGCACTTATCACTAAAATGTTGGATAACCTTATAAACAGTACAGAAACCTTAAACGAGAACACCTTAATTTTAGATAAAAGAATTAGAAAAATTGAAGATATTATAAAAGCGGGCAACCGTAAAGAAAATGACTGTTTATATCTTACACACACTTTAAATATGTTCGATACGTTTATGAGTACATTTAGAACTACTTACATAATATTAAATGAAATAGAAACGGCATTTGCATTTACTAAGGTACTATTGTTAATCCTACTGAATTATTAAATCTTTTAAAATCGATAGAGCAGATCCATAATTTAATGTATGAAGTAAATGAAGCAAATTTGTTAAAGTTCGAAAGAGTTATTAAGGTGAAAGCTTATGTAAAGGATAGCCAGATAACATTTATTTTAGAAGTGCCATTAACTAATAAAAATATCTTTGACTCTTTTAAAATATATTCCTTACCCATCTATAAAGGTTCGATTAACAAAACTGTTACTGTATTTCCCGAATTCCCTTACCTTCTGGCGAAAAATTCCAAATACTTAGCTGTCACCAAGCCGTGCGAAAAGATCGAAGCCGAGACCTTCCTATGTACAGACGAGAATATAATGCAGTTCAAGACTCCTACATGTGCGGAACAACTTATGGAATTTCAGACAAATCTTAGCAGCTGTTTGCAGTATGCAGTAGAAATAGAGGATATTAAGATCCAAAGAATAAGTATGGAAAGTTGGATAGTATTTACACAAAAACCGACCTTGCTAGCAGAAAGATGCGAGAATGACAATGCAAAGGAATCAATTTTGGGCACCTATATCGTAACCACCCTTGAAAATTGCTTAATTTACCTAAATGATATAAAGTTAATGTATCAACGCACGTTTGCTGAAAATCTTCAATATAAAATTACGCCGATAGTCGCGCTACCAGAACTAGAAACCAGGAATTTGACGCAACTACCGGTTGTCAACATCAAAAATATAAATTTGGAGGAAATGAAGTATTTTTCACGAATTTTGAAGCTTAAAGACAGTGATGTGTTCAGTGATGGCCTCTTTAGTGAAAGTGAAAAGAGATATTTTAGTGGAATGGACGTTAATAATATTGGTTTACTTACTGTCATATTATATGTAATTTAGTCATAAGTTGTATAAGTTTAATGTGTTATTATTGTAAAAAAAGGTTTTTTCGAAATTCTCGGAACCCTATACAAACGGAACCCGATAATTTCGAACTTGAGGAGGGAGGAGTTATGCGACCACCCGGGCGTTTGATAAGAACACCTGCATTCGAGACTGCTCAGTCAGCATAGCGATAACAGTGGTCGAATAACAATTCTTGAGAAATTGCTAACGAAGATAAAAGCATCAGGTTCGCCAGTAACAATTCTCATGAAACTGCTAACGCAGATATAAGCATCCTGTTCGCCAGACAGTAAAGTGAGAATTGTTTATATTAGATAATAAAGTTAGAAATGTAAGACATAATTGTAAGACACAGAACTGGCAGTCGTCAGGAGCATCTCAATCTGTTCGGACGTCTCACGAGTCGTCTCTAGCATCTAAATCTGCTAAGACACTCACTAGTAATAAGATTAATTTTTAAATAAGTAAAGTATTAATTTTTAAATAAAACTTTTTAAAAAAGTCTTTGTCGCTCCCTCAAACTTGACTACATAGGGGTGTTCTAAAATTCTTTGTTTTGGAAAATTTTATAACTCTGTAAATATTGATGTTTAAAGAATTTAAATGCTTAATACAACTTTAAAAAGTTATCCCCTATATGTGTCTTCATTTATTGTCGCCCTTGGACTGCAGCTCAACACAATTATAAACAACCTAGACCCGAATTGTAGTAGTGGTATTGATAAAATTAGTACAAAAGTGATAAAATGTCTTCAAAATTTAATATCGAATTGTTTGGCCCAATGTTTTAATAAACTAATGATTGACGGAGAGTTTCCAGATACCATGAAGATCGCAAAGGTTACACCGATCTACAAATCGGGACCCAAAACTGACCCAGGAAACTATCGTCCCATATCTGTGCTGCCAGTGATGTTTAAATTTTTTGAACGAATCTTACATGATCGTATAAACAACTATTTAAACTCCTTTAATTTTATATCCGATCGGCAATATGGATTTCGAGCCAAAAGTAACACTACTAACGCAACAATAGATCTCACAACTAAAATAAAGGATAACATTGATAAAAAGCACATTGTTTTAGGTAATTTTATCGATTTGAAAAAAGCCTTTGATACCGTAAGTCACAAACTACTATTAGAAAAACTAGAAAGCATCATTATCAAAGGCAGTGCTTTTAAAATTTTTAAATCTTATCTAACAAATAGATCACAAGTAGTCCAGATGGGCAATTCCCAAAGTAGTACATTACCCGTTACGCACGGTGTGCCACAAGGCTCTATATTGGGACCACTCCCATTTTTAATATATGTAAATAACATAACAGTACTAGGGTTACATGGTCATATAACTTTATATGCAGATGATACATGTTTATTTTATTTGGGACCTAAATAGATGAATGATGTTATTTCTTTCTTTCTTTTTGTTATTTATGTTCAAAATGACCTAAAACTTTTTTTTGACTGGTTCCAATATAATTTACTGTTACACAGTTAATACTACTAAAACATGCTACATTATCTTCAAACCAAAAAATAAGATCATCCCATTACATGATCATGATTAACAATTAATAACTCTCCCTTAGGACAAAAATCCTCCGAAAAATACCTTGGCTTAATAATAGATAATTATATAACATGGAACAAACAAATAGATCACATTGTAAATGCACAAAATAAACTTTCGGCACTTACTGGTTGTCTCTGCAAACTTTCTCAATGTCTACCTAGAAAGATGCGCTTCACTATTTATAACTCATTAGCTAAATCACACTTACTTTATCTCAGAAATCTGGGGCAGTGCTGCTAAAACTAAATTACAGGAACTTCAAAGATTGCAAAATAAAATAATTAAAATACTTTTCCGTTACCCGGACATGACGCCAACATCCAAAATTTATAAAGATACAAAATTAATGAACATTAAACAACTATATATATATTCTTCTAATTCTCTTGTATTCTAATTAGGAAAATAATAGATCCATCCATACTAACTTATCATTTGTAACAAAATCACAAATAAGTAAAAGCAGTGTTCGCTTACTTGTATTACCAAAAGTAAGAACAAATTATGCAAAAAAAAGTATTCCCTTTGAAGGAGCTCAACTATACAATAGACTACCTATTCATATAAAAAAATAACCGCATTTAACAGTTTTAAGTCTCAATTATCTCAACACATACTTGATAACTTTATATGATTGTATAATATTCTCATGTAAGTGGCATTGTATTGTCTTGTTGGGAATAAATTTCTTTAACCTCTTATTTTGAGTGAACGCAATATCGGCGTGTGGATCAGATGGCGATAGGCGCCGGGGCGCGGCCGGTGGCGCTGACCGTGCACGGCGGCCGCGCGATCTGGGCCGACGCGGACGGCGCGCTGCGCGCCTGCGCCGCCCCCGGCTGCGAGCGAGTGCGCATTCTGCGCAACAACACCGGTACCCACGCCGTCTCCGAACGCACCTTCGCACTCTGCTGGTGTCCTACCGAATGGTCTTCAGCGAGCTCGTCTCCGGCAGAGGGCGTGCTGTCGCTGCGCGTGTGGGACGGGCAGCAGCAGAAGCGGCCGGCGGGCGCGTGCTCGCAGCGCGCCGCGGCCGCCACGTGCGCGCACCTCTGCGTGCCCGTGGGCCGCTCCGCCAGCGTGTGCCGCTGCGCAGCGGGATACGAGCAGCGGGGCGCGGCCTGCACGCGTGAGTATGGCGCACTGTATACGGACAGTGTACACTTCTCATGTCCTTCCTTTGTGCTGAACCGAAAACATCGAATTGCAGCCGTGGACGAAATCTTGGTGTACCCGTTGGATTCGGACATACAAGGCATACATCTGAACGCCAGCGGCGACGCGGCGGAGCCGAACCTCCTGCCGCCGATCCCCGGCCTCTCGATGGCCACGGCCATAGACTACCACGCCGGTGAGTGGTCGCACCGTACGGGGTGCACGGTGGGTGCAGTGCGCGGTACAGAGCGGTACAGAGCGTCCCGTGCCGGCAGAGGGCGAGTGGCTGTACTGGGTGGACGGCGAGCGCGAGAGCGTGTGGCGCGCGCGGCGCTGGGGCGGCGAGCGGCGGCGCGTGGCCGCGGCGGCCGGCGAGGCGGAGGCGCCGGCCGGCCTGGCCGCGCTGGCCGTCGACTGGCGCGCCGCCAACCTCTACTGGGCCGAGCCGCGGCGCGCGCTGCTGCACGTGGCGCGCCTCGACGGCAGCCACCCCTACGTGCTGCTCGACACGGACCCCTTCGCCATCGCAGGTGGGTACGCCCCCCGCCGGCCCCGACGTCGGCCCCCGATCGGCACTGTAGCGGGCGAGGGCTCCCGTTCGCAGCGCTGGCGCTGGACGCGGAGCGCGGCTGGCTGTTCATGTCGGGCGGCGGCTGGGTGCAGCGCGCCCGGCCCGACGGCTCGCAGCGCGCCCTGCTGCACAACGGCACGGCCGTGGCGGACATCGCGCTCGACCTGCAGGTGGGTGGCGCGGCGGCGGCGGGGGGCTCGACTGGGCGGGTTGAAGCTCTAGTGAAGCGAGTGTATGCACATATGCGCAGAGGCAGCACGTGTACTGGGTGGCGGAGGCGTGGGAGGCGGGCCTGTGGCGCATGACGTACGCGGGCGAGCGGCGGCAGCGGCTGGCGCAGGGCGCGCCCTTCCACCACACGGTGGCGCTGGCGCTGCACGGGGACCGTCTCTACTGGCTCGACACGTGAGTCGCGCCTCGCGCCTTTCCCTCCTCGCACGGTTCGCCATCTAACGTCCCGCGGCTTCCCTCTGGCAGGATGCTGGAGCGCGGCAGCGTGGTCACCGCGCCGCTGAACAACCTCACGGACTACCGCGTCATGAGGCACAACGTCGTGTATCACCGCACGGACTTGATGGTGAGCCCAACGCCCAATTTTTTTAATTTTTTTTTTTTTTTATCGTATTGACACAGAGCGCACATCCGGCATTGTAATACCATTATTGACGTTATACAAACTAACATTAATTTTCATTGAAGTATTTTTTTAATCTTTTAAATTTTCTAATTTATGGAAAATAGAAATCAATTTTTTTTTAAATAACATTTTATGTTATTTAAAAAAAAAATGGCAGGCCGCGAATGCCGAACACGTGGGTTCGATTCCAACAGCGGCGACAATCTTTTCGCACTTTTTCTACATATTTTAACATTTTATGTATTATACTAAATCGATTCTACGTAAACACTAAATATGATATTACTTAATAATCTTAGGCCTCCCCTGTACAGAAGTCGTCCTGGATAGTCCATCACGCGGCCCTGAAGATGCTGAAAGTCGAAAAAAATATCGATATGTCGATATTTATAAAAATATCAATATCGGCCTCTAATAACAAATATTGATATATCGGTTAAATTTTCGGTTTTAAAAATAATGGTGGATTAAATATTATTGTTATTTTTAGATTTAACCTCCGTAACATATACTTTTTTTTGACAATCTACTTTTGCGCTGGCAAACAGCCAGCTCTCATTTGAAATGCTAAGATATTTTCTTTCGTTATTTGCTTTTAATAATTTTCCTTTTTCAGTCCCGGGTTCGGATAGACGCCGTTTTCTCATACGAGCAACGTCTTTGCTAGGTCTACCCATTTTTTACAACATCTAAATATGAAAACTATATTATTAAAAATAAAAACTAAATGTTTTTTAAGAAAAAAAAAACCGACTTCAAAAAACTCTATTAGCTCAATTACTCTATTTCAAATTCTTAAAATCTAACATAACTTCATATAATGTGATATAAATAAGGTTGCCGAATAGTTCTATATTCAAAATTTAAAAGAAGTTTTCATTGGCAGTGCTTCTAACTGGCCAGTTCTAAAAACTTTCATTGTCACCCTAATATGAAGCTATGATATTTGTGGTAAAAAAGTCAGTGGCCAATTTAATTTATTTTCCGACCGTTCCATTTAAATTTGACTCCGTTGATTCTATAGTTAGAGAGAAAAGAAACCTGCGTTATTTCGAATACGAGTCCCGTCGTTGCAACACGTATGGACTAGGACAATGAACGTACAGTGCGTGGTTGAACTGATTACTTTCGTTATAGAAATTTTGCTCTGAAATGATCTCGTGAGGTAAGTATAAAGGTTTCTAATGAAACGACAATCGACATAATGCGTATGATTCACTAAAATCAATCCAAGTCATAAATTCTTGTCGCGTCTCAAGGCACAAGTTCAGTCGGCCGGGTGAGAAACGTGTCGTGCATAGTACGCGAGATGTCAATAGGGGTCGAGGTGCTATTGTGCCGAGGGCTATACCGCGGGCTATGCCGCAGGTGTGGTCGCGGGCGCGGCAGTCCGGGCCGAGCGCCAACCCGTGCGCGGGCGACAGGGCCGGCTGCGCCGCGCTCTGCCTCTGGGACGGCGCGAGCGCGCGCTGCGCCTGCCCCCACGGGCGCCTGGCGCCGGACAACAGGACCTGCCTGCGTGAGTCAACGCAACTCGCCCCCTTCATCATGACCATACGCGATACGCGACGCGTACAAGCACCGCTCCTTTTGTTTGCAGCGCACAAGGCGTTCATAATGTACTCGAGAGTCACCAAGATCGACAGTATACATCTCGACAACGACACCGATCTCAACTCGCCGTATCCACCTATAGAAGATAAGTGAGTATGGTTATTTTAACAATAATCCTTTTAATTTTATTTCGAAAGCTTAGGTTGTAGTCGTGTCAATACAAATAATGCTACTACTAGAAACATAAGGTACGGAAATCTGATTTTATTGAAACAATTCAATAATACGTTTCTTTAAATATACATTTTGGCGTCTAAAATCCGCCATTATATTTTTTTAATAATAATTGTAATATACCTATAAATAATAGCCCAATAAAAACAAATGAAACAAAGTAATTATCGTTTATTTAGTAGTTAGAAAAGAATATAGGGCCAGGGCAAAACATAAAACCTGGGCCCCAAAGAATCACTCAGAAATTTGTTCAAAGAGATAAAAATATTGACTGTTGCTTCTCAGTACACACTCAAAAACGTTATGCATGTCTATAAAAATTAGAATAAATTATCGGGTCATGGTGATGTGCATGATATAAATACTAGGAACAAATATACAAAAAATGGTTTTTTGCTTTTAATTCTTTCTTCCTTTAATGTTTTTTTAAAGGTGCCCTATTCCGTAAAAAACAGAACTTGTTGACAACGCGGTAGTCATTCATAAATACCTAAATTTTACTGTTCACGCACACAAGTTCGTTTGTGATCGAGTGGCATGACACGTTCGGCAGGGAGCTGATGCGCAACGTGATCGCCCTGGCGTACGAGTACAACAGCTCGCGGCTGTTCTACTCGGACATCCAGCGCGGCTCCATCAACACCGTGCACTTCAACGGCACCGGGCACGAGGTGCTGCTCGAGCGTGAGTCGCCCCGTCCGGCGGAGCCGGTGTGTGTAGGCTTGTAGGCGCTCGCGTATATATGATACTTACCGTGTGTCGTGCGTGTTCGGGGCGCAGAGGTGGGCGCCGTGGAGGGCATGGTGTTCGCGGCGGCGGCGGGCGCGCTGTACTGGACGAGCGCGGCGGGCGTGCGCGGCGCCCACGTGGCGGCGGTGCGCGCCGCGCCGCGCGCCCAGCGAGCCGCGCTCGTGCGCGACGTGCTGCGCCTGCCGGCCGGCGAGCGCCCGCGCGGCCTCGACTTCGACCCCTGCCACGAGTAGGCGCCGCCCGCACTTCTTACGCGATTCCGCTCCGATGGCGCTCCGTGATACGACGTGCGCTTCCGCAGGCGCCTGTACTGGACCAATTGGAACCAGTCGCACCCGTCCATTCAGCGGGCGCTGGTGGGCGGGCGGGGGCTGCAGACCATCATCAGCACGGACATCCTGATGCCGAACGGCCTGGCCTTGGACCACAGCGCGAGGCGCCTCTACTGGGCCGACGCTCGCCTCGACAAGATCGAGCGCGCGCACTACGACGGCTCCCATCGACACGTACGCTCGCTTTACGATCATCGTGGCGATGAATCGAGAACATTTCCCATGATCGAATAGTACAAAGGGCCAATCCGTCGGGGCAGGTGGTGACGCAGTCGGACACGAAGCACCCGTTCGCGGTGGCGGTGGGCGGCGGCTGGGTGTTCTGGTCGGACTGGGTGGCGCGCGCGGTGCTGCGGGCCGACAAGCGCGCCGGCGGGGCGAGGACGCTGCGCCGCCACCTGCCGCGCCCCATGGCGCTCGTGGTCGTGGCGCCGCAGCACCAGACCTGTGAGTGGCGCGGCCGGACGAGGGTAGGCTCGCCGTAGACGCCTTATGGAGACGCGCCGCGCTCTTGCACCAGGCGAGAGCGACCCCTGCTCGATCCTGAACGGCGGGTGCGGCGAGCGGTGCGCGCTGGACGCGCAGGGGCGCGTGGCGTGCGCGTGCGGGGCGGGGCGCGCGCTGGCGCGGGACGGCCTCTCGTGCGCGCCGCCGCGGGCGCAGTGCGGCGCCGGCCGCTTCGCGTGCGCAGAGGGCGCCTGCCTGCCGCTCGACCTGCTCTGCGACGGCGTGCCGCACTGCAGCGACGGCCCCGACGCCAGCGACGAGGACCTCTACTACTGCAGTCGGTGTCGCTCCCTTTTTTATCCATACTAATAATAGCACGAGTAAACATCTTCAATAACAGACGAATTAAAGAATAACATTTACAATATTAAAACTAAATAAATTACAAGTTACTACTCCACGTGCCAAAAAACCTAGAAACATTTCCTCGCTAAATAGTAGAAAAAGAACCAGCCCTTTTGTCATCTGTTTCTAGAACTGCTTAAGAATACAAATCAATTTCGTACAAAAAGTTATCATATTTCCATCCAAACTGAACTATAGTGAAGAATAATATAAATACTAAAAATATTTTGTTTACGTGACTTAAAAATTGGATTACCTTAAATTTTAAAAGAGGTTCTAACCTTGTTAATAACAAAGGTTTACACTAAGGTAAAGTGATTCTGTACGGATTTCGTTAATGTTTGGTATTGCTACCGCAGAGACAAATTACTCCTTGTGGAAAGTCACTAAAAAACTTAAACGCCCGGCAAGTAATCAACCTCTTATCCGTATGTCGTGTATGTATACATTGTCTGTGGCTGCGCCCACAGTACTTGAATATGCGACATTAAAGCAGTGCGTTACTAACCAGCAAGCGTTTCACTACTCCCATACATAACAGTGGCGACGAGTATTATTCTACCCTCGTGCAAAAATAAATAATTGAAATGGCGCAATTCGGGATTTGGTCCAGTTTTGACCACAATATCCAGTCGTGGCAAGTATATAAAGGCCGGCTGCAGCAGTGGTTTATTGCAAATGGAATAGTGGAAAGAGAAGATCCTGCGGGTATACGTCGCAGGGCGATATTGCTGAGCGCACTCAGTGAGGCAACCTACCAACTCGCGAATGATTTGGCTCTGCCAAAGGAATTGCAAAGGGTACCATTTGAAGAAATATTGAAGCTATTAGATGATCACTTTATACCTAAGCGATGCGGTTTCGGAGAGCGTTACAAGTTCTATGCAGCTATGCAGCATGAAGGAGAAGGTTTTTCTCAATGGGCGGCGGGCTGCGCGGATTGACGGCACATGGTGGATTCCTAAACGTAGAGGAGTCATTAAGGGACCATTTTATAATGGGTATGCTGCCGGAAGCGGAGCGAGAGAAATTATTCGCTCAGGATCCAAGGGAACTGACCCTCGCAAAAGCAGTGGAGCTGGCGGAGAGCGTGCAATGCGCGCGCAGAGGTGCAGCGGTACCGACGTTGGGGGTGGCGGGTGGCCCCGCGACGCACTCTGGACAGCTGTTCAAGATCGGCTCCAAAAGTGGTAACAGTGACAAAGTGATGTGCTCAGTGTGTGGGTTTAAGAATCACACGTCGGCGCAATGTCGGTTTGCTAATTACACATGCAAAAAGTGCCACGTGAAAGGTCATTTACGCCGTATGTGCAAAAAAATTAATTTCATATTAAACGAGAGCATTGATGAGAACGGTGACGACGGTGAGTTTTTTAATATTCGTACACGTAACGGGGAACCTATGACAGTGCTAGTTAATGTCCGGGGCGTGCAGATAGAATTTCAGATTGATAGCGGATCAGCTGTTACTGCGATTTCCGAGCAAACGTATTTAAATAACTTCAATGATGTATCTTTATCAAAAAGCAACAAACGATTACTTACATATACTGGCAGTAATATTAATTGTGTAGGAATCGTACGGTTACCTTTTACCTATTTGGATAAAACGCAAACGATAAATGTGTATGTTATTCGAAAGGGCGGCCCACCTATCTTAGGCAGAGATTTTATTTCCCTGTACAAACTGGAATTATTACCTATAAATTACTGCGAATATCCGACTAATACCGCTGAGCACTTACAATATCAATACCCTAGTGTTTTCTCGGATGAATTAGGAACCTTCAACAAATATAAAGTTAAACTAAATCTGCGAAAAGACGCAAAGCCGATATTTTTTAAGCCGCGGCCAGTACCTTTTGCACTGCGTGATAAAATAGACACGGAGTTAGACCGTTTGGTACGCGTCGGAATATTAAAACCGATTGAGCATTCTGAATATGCGTCACCCATCGTGCCGGTTTTTAAAGCGCGATGGCTCGATTCGTTTGTGTGCGGATTACTCTGTTTCAATTAATAAGCAGCTGTTAGTTGATCAATACCCCTTACCGACGCCTCAAGAATTATTTACTAAATTATATGGGGGACAACAGTTCAGTAAATTAGATTTATCTCAGGCGTATGCGCAGTGTGTTTTAGATGAGGAATCACAAAAACTTACGTGTATTAACACTCATAAAGGATTGTTTAAATACACACGACTAAGTTTTGGTTTGGCCTCAGCTCCTGCTATTTTTCAACACGTGATGGATTGCATTTTATCCGGTATGGAAGGAGTATTATGCATGTTAGATGACATTTTAATAACAGGAAGTAATAGAAATGAACATTTAAGTAGATTACATGCGGTTTTAAAACGGCTGCAAGACGCGGGTTTAACACTGCAAAAAACGAAATGCGATTTTTTCAATGATGAAGTAGAATATTTAGGATATATTGTGGATAAAAATGGATTAAGAAAATCATCCGGAAAAGTTAATGCGATATTGAATGCGCCAGTACCAGGCGATGTTGGTAAATTACAATCGTTTTTAGGTCTTGTCAATTATTACAGAAGTTTCGTTCCTGACGCATCTTCGATTTTGAGCCCTTTATATAGCCTTTTACATAAAAATAGTCAGTGGCGTTGGGATGCGGAACACGACAAAGCATTCAACACGATAAAAAAATTGTTAGTTTCAGATCAAGTCCTAGCTCATTTTAATCCGAATGCAACTGTTATTTTAACGGTAGACGCGTCACCGACTGGGTTAGGCGCGGTATTATCGCAGTCCGGTGATGATAAGGTCGAACGCCCGGTATGTTTTGCATCGCGCACCTTGAATTCAGCGGAAAAAAGGTATTACAAATACAGAAAGAAGCGACAGCGATTATATTTGGCGTGCGTCGTTTTCATCAATACCTTTACGGCAGGTCTGTTCCGTTTATACTTCGAACTGATCACAAGCCTTTAATAACGATTTTTGGACCTCATCGCGGCATACCTGAGGTGTCAGCAAATAGGTTACAGAGATATGCATTATTTTTAATTGCATACAATTTTAAAACTGAATACATTCGCAACGCTGATAACTGCGCGGATTATTTGTCTCGAGCGAACGCCAGCGATGCATCATGCACCGATGGCGGCCACGAAACGAGTAGTACAGCGGACTTTATCGAAGATAGGGCATCGTATATTAATTTTGTTGTTGATGGTACCTTACCAATTACATTAAGTGAATTGCGTAATCAAACGTATAAGGATTCAGTTTTAAATAAGGTAGCAAAGTATATATCGAATGGTTGGCCTAAATATATATCTGACGAAAAGGTACGGCCCTACTATTTATGTAAAAATCAGCTTTCATCTGAAAGGGGTATAATTATGCGGGGTCATAAGGTTGTAGTTCCAGAAAAGTTGCATAGTCGAATTTTGTCGGAGTTACACAAATCACACTTAGGTATTGTTAAGTGTAAAGCGGAAGCAAGAAGTAGGATTTGTTTTCCGGGGATAGATAAAGCCATTGAATCCATGATCGGTAGCTGTGAAGTATGTACACAGCTCAGACCGTCCCCGCCTCGCGCGCCGCTCGCCGTGTGGCCACACCCCCCTCAGCCCTTCTACCGAGTGCATCTCGATTTTCTCGGCCCGATTAAAAGCCAGTCATATTTAGTAATCGTAGATGCTTATTCAAAATGGGTCGAAGTATATAAAATGAATTGCACCTCGTCAGCTGCAGTAATTGCAAAATTACAAGAATTTATGTCGAGATTTGGTCTTATCCACACATTAGTTAGTGATAATGCAACATGTTTTCTATCAGCAGAGTTCGTTCATTTTTGCTCAGTAAACGGGATATCGCACGTAACATCTCCCGCTTATCATCCGGCTAGTAATGGACAGGCGGAAAGTTTTGTAAAAATTGTAAAGAAAGGCATCAAGTCATGTTTAATGGCTGGCAATAATGTAGTTAAAAATAACGAAAACTTATTAAAATATCTTTTCGATTATAGGAACTCAGTTCACGTTACCACTGGGTTGTCGCCAGCACAATTAGTTTTTGGCCGAAAACTTCGTTTGCGTTTGGACTTGATAATTCCAATTAAAACACCGTCCTCATCCAATGCTCTCGCTGATATTGTTAAACATAAACAGTGCTTGCAGACTAAGTCTTATGGTGGAACTAATGAACAATGTTTTAATCCTAATGATATAGTTTATTATAAGAAATATTACCCTAATCAGCATTTTACTTGGAATAAAGGCACAGTTATTAAAAGAATTGGCAAGACAGTTTACTTAATAGCAGATTTATTAACGTCACAAATAATAAAAAAACATAAAAATCAACTGCTGAAATCGACATCTGAATGGACAACATGTTATGACCTTAGCACGCCTTATGTCGTGGAGGAAGCGAACGTTACCCATGAGGATAATGGGGGAGGACAGACGGAGCAGACTGACTTCCCAACCCAAAATTCTGCAGCAGCTGAGGAGTCGTCTTTGATCACTTCAGGCTCCGAGATTGAAGAAGTACATCCAGAGCGTTCTGTGTCGGGCACATCGGGAAGGGTATTACGTCCGTTAAGACGAGTTGACTATAGGCCGTTTTTTTTAATTGTATAAATTGTAAATTAGAAGGGAGGAATGTTGTGTATGTATACATTGTCTGTGGCTGCGCCCACAGTACTTGAATATGCGACATTAAAGCGTTCCCTCCTCAATGGAAAATAGCCCAAGTTATAATGGTTCCTAAGCCCGGAAAAAATCCAGTTGAGCCGCAATCATACAGACCTATTAGTCTGTTACCCATACCCTCAAAAATCATAGATACTTATCTTGCATAGATTATCCCTGATTATTGCCGCAAACAAATTAGTACATGACCATCAATTTGGTTTTCGTCGAAAGCATGGTACTATTGAACAAGTACACAGACTAGTGGAACTTATAAACAAAGCTCTTGAAACAAAACAATACAGTGTTGCGGCGTTCTTGGATATTTCACAGGCATTTGATCGAGTGTGGCATGACGGACTACTTTTCAAAATAAAAAAGCCCTACCTATAAACTTCTACAACCTAATAAAGTCATATCTAAGCCACAGACACTTTTTTGTTAAACAAGGAGAAGAGATAACGTCTCTATATGCTATTAAAGCTGGAGTTCCGCAAGGCAGCGTCATGGGTCCCACGTTGTATCTGCTGTTTACAGCTGATCTCCCTACCACCGTTGGAGTAGTTACTGGAACATTTGCTGATGACACAGCAATTATATCCATGGACAATTCACCAGATATTGCAGCACAAAAGCTTCAAAACAGTCTCGATCAATTATCCAAATGGCTCAAGGACTGGCGAATCAAAGCCAACGAAACCAAATCTGTCCAAGTTACTTTTACAAACAGGAAAGAAACATGTCCACCCGTCACTCTAAATTGCATACCTCTACCCCAAGAGGATCACGTCAAGTATCTTGGAATATACTTAGATAGCCGCCTAACCTGGAAAAAGCATATTTTCACAAAGTGATTAGCTATGGGCCAACAGTTACGTACTATGTACTGGCTACTTAATAAAAAATCACGACTCTCACTTCAAAACAAGCTATTGCTATATAAATGCATAATAAAACCTATATGGCCTAGAACTCTGGGGAACAGCAGCAAAATCCAACATTGAAATTATACAGAGATTCCAGACAGAGATATTAAGAATAATAACGAACGCACCTTGGTATATCTCTAACATTAGACTCCATCACGACCTCTGCGTCAAAAGCGTCATAGAAGAAATCTCCGAAAGGATTAAAGCGTACAAGAAGCGAATCACTAATCATCCAAATATGCTGGCAATCAATCTAATGAACACCCAAACAGTGGCTCGTAGACTAAAGAGAAAGATTCCCCAAGACCTTCTCTGAAAGGCACATGAATCAACGGAGCAGTCACTGGACTGCTATCGTGCAAGCCCTTCTCATTTTATACATATTGCTGAATATCTGCAAATTGATAGATTGCAATAGGAAAAAAAATGTTTGGTATGATAGAATAAAAATTTTAGGTATAAATCGGATTAGAAAATTTCACATTTGGAATTATTTCAATCGAGGTCGATATTTTTAAATTGATTACTTCATACGTTGTCAATTTTACCTTCCAATATACCATCGTCTAGGTACCAGACATTAAGTTTAGACATCAATTTTGAAATACATATTTGGATGATTTCCCATATTAAATGGCATTATTCTATATTTGTTTATCGAATGATCACTCGCTGTTCGATGGTGTATCTGACCGCGAGTCCGTGTTGCAGCGTCGCGCGCCTGCCCGGCGGGCTGGCTGGCGTGCGGCGCGGGCGGGCGCTGCGTGCCGCGCGCCGCGCAGTGCGACGGCCGCGCCGACTGCGACGACGGCGCCGACGAGCGCGGCTGCGACTGCCCCCCCACCCACATCAAGTAGGCCCCCGCCCCTCCGCCCCCGCCCCTCCGCCCTCCGCCCCTCCGCCCTCCGCCCCCGCGCCCCCGCTACAGCGCGCCGCGTGCCGCAGGTGCGACGACGGCATGTGCGTGCCCATGGAGGCGCGCTGCGACGGCGCCGTGCAGTGCGCCGACGCGTCGGACGAGCGCGGCTGCGCGCGCGGCACGTGCGCCTCGCTGGGCGCGGCCGCGCTGCCCTGCGGCGGCGGCGACGCCTGCTACCTGCCCGCTTGGCGCTGCGACGGCGCCGCCGACTGCCCCGACGGCACCGACGAGGCGCACTGCCCCCACGGTCTCGTCCATTTCTCTTTTCTTAAAATCGAATTCAAATACGGCGTCGTTTTATATCGAGTCGATGACGCGACGTCGTGGCTACTCCGCAGACACCACCGAGATGAGCCGCAGTGCGGAAACGACGGAGGAGGAGGTGAACGCAGAAGAGTGCACCGAGGAGCAGTTCAAGTGCGGCGGCGGCGGCGCCGAGGTCGAGTGCATCCCGATGGCCTGGCGCTGCGACGGGCGCGCCGACTGCTCCGACGGCTCGGACGAGACGTTGCACTGCGGTTGGTATTGGTAGTAGCCGCCCGAGGCCGCCCGAGGCCGCGCGTGACCCGGCCGATGCATCGCAGGGCGCGGCAACGGCAGCGCGTGCGCGGCCGGCTCGTTCCGCTGCGCGGCGTCGGGCGCGTGCGTGCCCGCCTCGGCCGCGTGCGACGGCGCCGCCGACTGCCCCCATGCCGAGGACGAGGCGGAATGCGCGTGCGCCAAGGGCTCCTTCCGCTGCCCCGCCTCCGCGCTCTGCCTCGACTCGGTACGTATCCGCTGTTTCACCCTTTTTTTTACGTGTCAAAAATCTTGTATCCGAATCCCTACCACTGAATCCCCAAAACTCTCGCAGTGATATAGGCCGAATGGCACGAAGGCGCACACAGTCTGACCGCGAGGCTCCGTATGCACATTCTTGACTCCCTGAAATTGTTTTTAATTTGTTCCTTTTCCCTATATGACAACTAGCCCCCTTCGGGGGCTTGACGGTACTAATATGTTGCACTAGCAGTAAGTACGCGCATTGACGCAGGATCAATTCCTGAAAAACGCCCATTTGAACTATTGATCCCGATGAAAATATGTAATTTATTATTACTTTTTGTTTCCAGTCATAATCATAAAATATCTTTATTCACATAGACGCTTGCGCGTTCTTATGAAACGTCAAAATTTTACTGACTGTGACTGTTGGATTTTATTATACATGCGCACACTTTGCAATATGAACGACCTGTTTACTTTTTGTAGACGAAACAATGGCGTAGTTAGTTTGTTCTTGTTTCTATACTAGAAAGTTTTTGTTTATGTTTATACACTAATATACACTATTCTTTAGATAATTATTAATATTATGTTTAACGTACAAAATATTGCAATAAATATATTGAGACGCAATAATGACTATATTGATCTCTTTAAAAAGATCTCTCAGTGTATTCCGGGTTCCGATATTATAGATTACGTGATTGCTCTTTTTTATATGCTGATTTATATACTGGTAAAATTTTATTTAATTAATTTACCATATTCTAAATAAGTGTACGTTATGCATTAAATGTTTTGTCTAAAAAAACGAATCGTTCAGGCACTTTACTGCGACGGGGACGTGGACTGTAGCGACGGGTCGGACGAGCCGGCCGGCTGCGGCGGCGCGGGCGGCGCGGGCGGCGGTGTGCCGGCGGGGGCGCAGGGGGTGGGCGGCGCCCCGGAGGCCGACCCGCTGTGCGGCGCGCTGGGCGGCGGCGTGCGCTGCCGCGGCCGCTGCCTGCCCGCCGCGCTCGTGTGCGACGGCCGCGACCACTGCCTGGACGGCGGCGGCGGCGGCGCCGGCTCCGACGAGGACCCCTCCGTGTGCGGTGAGCGAGTCGCCCTGCGTCTCCCAAGTCCGGCCACCGAATATCACGTCACGTGACGACGCTCGGGCCGCAGGGTCGTACTCGCGCGCGTTCGGCACCGGCTCGGAGGCGCCGGGCGCCGCGCTGTGGGGCTGCGCGCGCGGCGAGTGGCGCTGCGCCAACGGGGCCTGCGTGCCGCGCTCGGCCCTCTGCGACGGCAACGACGACTGCGGCGACTACAGCGACGAGTGGCGCTGCAGTGAGTCCACGCGTGCTACGCGATCAGTAACTACTAACGCCGCATCCATATTTGAACCGATGACTGCCTTCCCTTACAACATCGCTAGTGCCTATCATAATCATGTTCCACCGCGCGGAGACGATGGTCTATTGCGAACCCCGAGAAGCGCATGTTCTGCAACGAAGTGGCACGCGCAGACGTGGACGAGTGCTCGGTGCGCAACGGCGAGTGCGCGCACAACTGCTCCGAGCTGGCGGTGGGCCACGCGTGCTGGTGCCGCAAGGGCTGGCGGCGTGTGGGCGCCGGCGCCTGCCGCGACGCCGACGAGTGCGAGGAGGACGAGCCCTGCGACCACCGCTGCCGGTGGGTGCCCTCCCCTCCCCTCGCCCCGCCGCCCCTCGCCCAACCAACCGCGCCTCACCCCTCACTCACCCGCGCTCCGCTTGCAGCAACACCGTCGGCAGCTTCGTGTGCTCCTGCAACGAGGGCTACAGGCTCATGTCCGACGGCGTCAGCTGCGAACCCGCCTCCCGTGAGTCGCGTGCACTACTGCCACACACTTACGCTCTCCGGAAGCTCCGCGCGAGGCTAAAGCGCTCTTTGCTACCGGCGCGATTGCAGCGGTGAAGGCGTCCCTGATATTCACGAACCGCTACTACATCCGGCAAACGACGGTGGTGGGCGAGGCGACGCCGCCGGGCGCGGCGGTCACGTCGCTGCTGGTGCACAACCTGACCAACGCGGTGGCGCTGGACATGGACTGGGCGGGCGGCTGCCTCTACTGGAGCGACGTGACGCGCCTCGGCAGCTCCATCAAGCGCGTCTGCAGGGCGCCGCGCCCGCTGCGCACCCTCGACGCCTCCTCCGCCGAATACCAGGTGGTATCCGAGGCCTTTCCTTACTTATACTTGCGTTTTTTTTTTAGTATATTTATTCAATATAGGCCTAACCTAAGCTCTTATTGAACGTCGACAAAAATCTACCAACGGTTCACTAAACTAGACCTGCACAGAGAAGAACCGGCAAGAAACTCTGCGGTCTTGTTCTTTTTGTTATTTTTTTTTGATGCAATTATACACACTTATTTAGGTATAAAATCAGCAGCACCCGGGGGTCTTGCAAGTGCAGAGCAAGAGTCATTTCCAAACATCCTTGTTCTCAATATATTCTTGGATTGGCCCTTGCCATTAAGGTAGCTTTTACAAATTGTTTGAAATTGTTTATACTTAGTTGTTTGTGGATGTCACCTATTTTATTATAAAAGTAGATGCATCTTCCAAGAAACGACTTTCTGGTTTTAGCCAATCTAAACCTCGGTACTTTTAGAGTGTCACCACGGCCCCGACGCGATGTGGATTGTTTTTTCGTAAATATTATGTGGATATTATTACGTACATACATGATGTTCTCAAGTATGTAAAGCGACGGGAGCGTCAATATATACCGTAGTGACTTACGTGGACCCAAACCATATTCTAAGAAACGAATTGCTACTCTAGTAGCATATAATATACAAAACCCAGTTGTACATAGTACAACTAAGATTTTATTATGTAATAATCTTTCAGCAAACAATGTTAGTTTAAACTAAACATTGAGACAACGCCTAGGCCACTTAAATTAAATATTGTTCATCAAAATATATATATATCAAAATATGTATACAAGGCTTAGGCGGCAAAGAACCCGAAATTGAATTGTTCCTTAGGAAATTTAATATTCATGTCATCTGCTTCACAGACACATGGTTACATAAGCACTGTATTATTGTTAATATAGAAAATTATAAATTGTTAAGTTCGTTCGTAAGAGTAAATGCTATTCGCGGTGGCTCTCTTGTGTTAGTTAGAACTAATATAGTCTGTAAAAATCGACAGGATATAGTGGCCCACTCTGTCGAACGTTCTATTGAATTATCCTGCGTTGAGAGTCAACAGTATATTATAGTATGCGTTTATCGGCCCCCCTCAGGGGATTTCGATCAGTTTGAGTGTGTAATGGATGATGTTCTTAAAAAACTATGTTCAAGTACTAAATCATTAATAGTTTGTGGAAATTTTAATGTGGATTTATTACAAGTAACACAACTTAGTAAACGACTTTTAAATTTATTTAATTCATTTGAACATAAAAATCTTTTTCATGAACCAACTCGTATTACTAACTTATCCTCCTCATGTATTCTGTCGCAATGATGTTTATGATAAATATATTATAAATCATCTGAGCTCGGATCACTTTGGTCTAAAATTTTCAATAAATGAAAAAGCTAATACAAGCAAACTTAAGATCAAGTGTAGACCAGTCACTACTAATAGAATAAATGCTTTTAGAGATAAAGTGGCACATCATATGTTAAATAAAGATATAGGAGTCAATAACCCTAATGACTCTTATAGATCAATGGTTGACTTTCTCATATCTTCTTATAATGATACTTTTAAATCGCGCACAATTGTTAAGAATTCAAAATTAAAATTTAGTGACTGGGCAACAGTGGGTATATGAGGCAGTGGAATCATGACCCCAACTTTCATAAAGGGGTACAAATGTTCTCAAAAATATTTAAAAAGTCTGTATTCAGGCAAAATCTATTCATATAAGAAATAGAATAATAAATTCAAACAATAAATTTAAAGCCACATGGGACATTATTACCCGTATATCTGGAAGACCCAAGATACTATAAAACTGGTTATAGGTAATACTCCCATAACATCAGATAATGAAATTGCAAGTAGTTTTGAAAGCTATTTTTCAGAAATTGCAGTAAATGTCACATGTACATTAAAATCAACTCCCATAGATGCAATTAACGTTTTAAGAAATAATGTTACCACAATTAATAATATTGTCCACACACGTTTAAATTTAATCATGTAGATACTTATGATATTATAAAAGTTTTGAGTTCTATTAATCTTAAGAATACAGGGGATTTATGGGGCATGTCCATAAAATTAATGACCACAATAATGCCATATATTGCACCACATTTAGCTAATATTTTTAACAACTGCATAGATTCTGGAATATTTCCAGATCTTATGAAATTTAGTAAGATAATACCTGTCTACAAAAGTGGTGATAAAAATGATCCAGGCAACTATAGACCTATTTCCATATTGCCATCTCTTAGTAAAGTTTTTGAAAAGCTAATATTCAATCAACTTTTAGTTCATTTTAATGTGAACAAAATCTTTCACGATGAGCAATATGGATTCACTAAAGGCAGATCGACAACAGATGCGGGCGTCGCACTTGTCAAACATATTTATAGCGCCTGGGAAAGGTCACAAGATGCAATAGGTGTCTTTTGTGACCTTTCAAAAGCCTTCGACTGCGTAGACCCTAAAACTCTCCTTCAAAAGTTAGAATATTATGGCATTCGTGGCATCGCCCTCAATCTCATTGCCTCTTACCTTAGTAATAGAATTCAAAAAGTATCTATAAATGATGTTAATTCCGCTGGGTCCCCGATGAAAATGGGTGTCCCACAAGGATCAATCTTGGGCCCATTATTATTTATAGTATATATTAATGATCTCCCCTTTTATGCCAGTGGGTTGTGTGATGTTGTACTGTTTGCTGACGAGACATCGCTAATTTTTAAAGTTGACCGAAACGTATTAAATTATGACGACGTGAATAGTGCACTTTCACATATCCTCCACTGGTTTACTATTAATAATATGGTATTAAATACCAAAAAAAACAGATGTATTCTTTTTACCCTTCCCAGTATAAGAAGGAAAAGTTTTAGTTTAATATTAAATAACGTACCCATTAATCCAGTTGAGTCTGCTATATTTCTGGGAATTACAGTACATTCAAAGCTCCAGTGGAGTCCCCATATGTCATCTCTTGCGAATAGGCTGAGCTCCGCTGTTTTTGCGATTAGAAGGGTTAGGCAGCTAACAGACATCGACACTGCCAGACTTGTTTACTTTAGTTATTTTCACAGCATCTTGTCGTACGGCATTTTGTTGTGGGGTAGTGCATCAGATATAAATTCTATATTTATTCTTCAAAAAAGAGCTGTTCGAGCAATCTACAATATCGGAGCCCGGAATTCACTCAGAGATCTTTTCAAAGAGTCATTGTTTCGTCTACAAAAAGTAAATAGGTCGTTCATGGGGCAAAGTGTGCGCATGTATAATAAAATCCCACAGTCGATATTAAGTCTGCCGCTTGAACAATTTAAATGTAAAATTAAAAATCAACTAATGATTAAAGCATATTATACCATTTCGGAATATCTCGACGACGCCAATGTGTGGAGTTAATACTGTTGATACTCACGTAGGCTAGAATAAGACTATTATGCCTGTATATTATATTGTACCCTGATATTTTTGAAAAAGAGCAACTGTTGAGTTTCTTGCCGGTCTCTTCTCAACAGAAACCGCTTTCCGAACCGGTGGTACCTTACGAACCTATATACATAAACTTTGATGTAAAATTTGACGATTCATAAGCGCGTGCAAGCGTCTATTTGAATAAATATATTTTTGATTTTGATAGACGGGCCGTATAGCCTGCTTTTGTAATACAAATATTGTGTCTAAACTGGATGCGGAACCCCAAACCATAGGAAAATATGCTGTGAAAATAAGCATAATAGCGTTGGAGGTGTACTGTGTCCTACGCTTATTTTTAAAGTGATAGTAAGGGGACAACAATAAATTGGTTTATCACATAACAATTAAGAAATAAATTTCATAAAATGCTGTATTGCTGAATATTTGAAATTTTTATACAGGGAGATTTTTTGAGAAATGCCCCAATTTACATAGGAGGTTCAGACTCGGTAGTACAATCGTTTATTGACACAACAAGCAAGCAAACAAGCTTTTTTTTCTTCAAAAAAAATTGCCATACTATTCCCTAAAAAATAGAACTTTCTGACAATGCGGTAGTCATTCATAAATACCTAAATTTTACTGTTCACGCACACAAACAAACTTGTGTGCGTGTTAGTTAAGAATGATCGCGCGTAAAATAAATGAGTTGTATATAAATCACGCACTTTTAGAGATAAGTTCAAATGAATGTAATTAATTACTTACGAGTGATTTTAAATATTTATCATGTTTTATATAACATGATTTATGTTTAGAATTTAATAAAAAAAAATGGTTATAAATAATCGTTTGTGATGTGCATTTTGTCGGTGTCGGTGGTCAGCTGGTGCAGGGCGCGACGCTGCAGAACCCCGACGGGCTGGCGGTGGACTGGGTGGCGCGCAACGTGTACTGGTGCGACAAGGGCACCGACACCGTGGAGGTGGCGCGCCTCGACGGCAGCCACCGGCGCGTGCTGCTGCGCGGCGGGCTGGCGGAGCCGCGCGGGCTGGCGCTCAACCCGCGCGCGGGGTGGGTGCCGCCACTTGCTAACGGCCGGGTAAATGCCTCGGAGCCACGGTCTCACCGGCGGCGGGCGTTGGCGGCAGGACGCTGTACTGGTCGGACTGGGGCGCGCGCGCGCACATCGGCCGCTGCGGCATGGACGGCTCCGCGCGGCGCGTGCTGCTGGCCGCCGGCCTGGGCTGGCCCAACGCGCTCACGCTGCTGCCCGCCGCCGACGAGCTCTACTTCGCCGACGCGCGCGAGGACTTCGTCGCCGTGGCCGACCTCGACGGCAAACACATGCGCATACTCTTCTCCAGGGGTAAAGCACCTTTCTATTCGTTGCTATTTTAAGAAGCTCAGAGCTGAGTGTGGAGTGCGTGCGCAGACCAGATGCCGTGGCTGCGCTTGCACCACGTGTTCGCGCTGGCCGTGTGGGCGGGCCGCGTCTACTGGAGCGACTGGGAGACGCGCGCGATCGAGAGCTGCCGCCGCCGCCCGGACCCCCACTACCAGGCATGTGCTCTTGCTCTGACCTAACCTTACGCTCTCTCTAATACTACATTGCCTCCTTCCTTTGCATCGCAGGAGATGAACAACACCTTGCCGGAGCAGGGCGGCGCGTGGCGTTGCCGCACTGAAGTGCACACTGTACACAAGCCCATGGACTTGCGCGTCTACCACCCTGCTAGGCAGCCACCCATGCCCGGTGAGTAATGAGTTTTGCTCAGTTTTGTTATATTACTTTGCCCTAACAGAGAAGGTTCCGTAAACTTGTCGGCTTTCGGATCGCAGTTGTAGCAAGTCTGATGTGTTCGTAGAGCTGTCGGCGCAGTGCGAGCGGCTGAACTGCTCGGGGCTGTGCCTGCTGCGGCCGGCGGCGGAGGCGGGCGGGGCGGCGAGCGCCACGTGCTCCTGCCCGGAGCACTTCGCGCTCGCGGAGGACGGCCGCTCGTGCACGCCCAACTGCACGGCCGCCCAGTTCGTGTGCCGCGACACGCTCAAGTGCATCCCCTTCTGGTGGCGCTGCGACACGCAGGTGAGGGAGGGGCCGGGGAGGGGGCGCGGCCTCTGCGGCCTCGCAGAGCGTGACCGAGCCACGTGCGTGTGCGTGCGCGCAGGACGACTGCGGCGACGGGTCGGACGAGCCGGCGTCGTGCCCGCAGTTCCGGTGCGCGCCGGGGCAGTTCCAGTGCGGCAGCGGGCAGTGCGCGCACCCGGCGCACATCTGCGACGGCACGCCGCACTGCCGCGACGCCAGCGACGAGCGCGACTGCGACGCGTTCGCCTGCCTCGGCGCGCAGTTCAAGTGCCGCGCCAACGCCACGGCGCGGGCGGCGGCGCGCTGCGTGCCGGCCGCGGCGCGCTGCGACGGCCGCCGCGACTGCGCCGACGGCGACGACGAGCTCGACTGCCCGCCGCGCACCTGCCCGCCGCACCACGTGCGTACCGCTAATGCACCCGTGCACTACACCCGTGCGGCGGGCACAGTTCGCGTGACACCCGTGTGCCTGGCGCAGTTCACGTGCGCGAACGGCGCCTGCGTGCCGGCCGTGTGGGTGTGCGACGAGGACTCGGACTGCGGCGACGGGTCGGACGAGGGCGCCGTGTGCGCGGGCCGCCGCTGTGCGCGCGACCACTTCCGCTGCGCGTCGGGCCGCTGCGTGCCGCGCGAGTGGCTCTGCGACGCGGAGGCCGACTGCCCCGGCCGCGAGGACGAGGCGGGCTGCGCGTCGCGCGCCACCGCGCCCTGCGAGCCCACCTACTTCCGCTGCCCCGACGCGCGCTGCATCCCCGGCCGCTGGCGCTGCGACTTCGAGGACGACTGCGGCGACGACGCCGACGAGATAGGCTGCACGCCGCGCAACTGCTCCGAGTCCGAGTTCCGGTACATTTATTTAATACGACCATGCACATTAAGAAATAGTCGAAGGTCGACATCGAGCGACGTCTGTGGCAGGTGCGCGAACGGCGAGTGCATCCGGGGCGCGCTGCGCTGCTCGGGCGCGGTGGAGTGCGCGGACGGGTCGGACGAGGCGGGCTGCGCGCCCGACTGCCGCCCCCACGCCAGGCCCTGCGCGCACTCGCGCCAGTGCGTGCTCAGGTGCGTGCGCACATGATTATAGCAGATTGAAAATTTAGTTATTCATTAACATATACAACATAATTAAGTAGATAGGAGGACGCAAACTGCGGTGGCGATGAATGCTAAAGCTCTTCCGCCTTGGTCGGCGTCAACGTGTAATTAAAAATCGCCGCAGCGAGTGGTGGTGCGACGGCGAAGTGGATTGCGGCGACGGCTCCGACGAGGCTTCGTGCAACGCGACTGTCGCCGGGGGCGGCGGGGGCGCGGGGGCGGGCGGCGCCGGGGGCGGTGGGGGGGGGGGGGGGGGCGGGCGGCGACGTGGGCGGGGCGAGGTGCGGGGCGCGGCTGCGCTGCGGCGCGCGCTGCGTGCCGGCCGCGTGGCGCTGCGACGGGCGCCGCGACTGCCCCGACGGCTCGGACGAGGAGCCCGCCGCGTGCGCGCGCACCGCCTGCCACCCGCCCATGCTCAGGTACTCTGCGCGGCGCGATTGCCCTCTTCCCCCCATTCTTGCCTTCTCCCTCTCACGTTCGGCCACGTTCAAGGTGCGGCGACAACACGTGCATCCCGCAAAACCTCATCTGCGACGGATACGACGACTGCAAAGATGGCATCGACGAAAATCTCCAGTTGTGTGAGTGGCACCATGTTAACAATAACTATAAGTATATATAGTTAAGTGCTGATACAATGTATAGCGAGAATTTTTTTTCTTAGAAACCACTTGTTTGCAGGCCGGCACTCGGTGACCACGGAGGGGTGCGCGGAGGGCGAGGTGCTCTGCCCCGACGGCCGCTGCGCGCCCACGGAGGCCGCCTGCCACGGTGACTATCCCGACACGTTAACATAATTATAATGAGGAGCGCTATTATAACTATGTAGACATGTGTATGGTAACCATATAATACATAATATACCTTAAAGTCCTGTCGCATAAGATTTAACATATGAACTTGAAGTGCGATAAAATCATAAAAAAACTTTTAATCAAATAAGCGCAATAGGTACGTCCGAAAATTAACGTCAACATATTATAAACCAACTCACTAAATTCAAACTCTAGCCGAATTTTAATCTGTAGTACAGCAACAAGCAAGTATAGCAACAACTTTGAACCTATACACGTCCTCCTGCTGTGCAAGTACATCCTCTTTACAAAGGATGTTTGAGAGAAACCGGATTGACAGACTTCATATATCTTCAATTTGTTTTTTATTTTCTCGAAAATGTGCAGATTTCCTAACTGCTGAGCACGTGATAACACATAAAATTTCAACTAATAATTTCATCCGTGCCAACACCGGGATTTGTAGTAGTTGTTCGAGTATATTAAATTAAAAGTGATTATACCACGTACGTAGTTCCACGTAATCCACCAGAGGTGGATTAAATATCGATCCAGTACTAGCTTTTTTATCACACTGAAAGTGATTGCAGAGCAAGGCGCGTGCAGCTGGCGCGTGTGCCCCCAGCTGTGCTTGCCCAAACACGAGCACAACTACACCTGCAAGTGAGTGCACTTCAAAAGTTCAAACAATCACAATATATTACGCCAACTTACACCAACAGAACGTCGCATTATTGGTTGCAAAATAAATAAAATGACAGGTTTATGTTGTGTTCCCAACATGTTCTTTCTTTTTTCTTGGAATTGCGGCTTCATAGACTCACATAGCATTAAAATAGGAAGATTTTGTCTATACTCGAAGCTATGTTCCTTTTCATTCATAATAATTCGAGAAACAAAAAATCTGAACTAAAAATTTTATTCGTGTTTTGATGGAGATTCGCAATGATGTGCAGTGAAGATGTTATGACTGCGTACGAGTATAAGATATGTTTCGATCATTAACTTCCTTTGTCAAATTAATATTATTTAATTCCTTATTAATTATCATTAGATTATCAAAAGTTAAAAATTAAATTAAATAATTTTATCATTTTGTCAGTAATTTGCGCAAGATTTCAAGCCAAAAATATGCGTTTATTCTATGGCGCACAAAATGTACTGACTGCGATTTTCTGTAAGTAAATGAATTTTCCTTCATCTAAAACTCGTAACACAGGAATCTAGACGTATATGTTTATAATGTATAAAATCAACTCAGTCAATACCATTCAACTTCTTGACGAAAAATTTCCACCATAATGAGAGAAAAAACTGTTCATAGTTAATTATTTCTTTTGAATTCTACTGACATTTTTTTTTCTAAAATTAGCCTGAATTTATTTTCATATTTAAAATATTCTAATAAAGAACATTGACGTTCATGACGCCGATGCGTGCATTAATATCACTGAGATTACGTGTACGTAATCTCAGTGACATTAATGCACGCATTTTAAATAAATAAATAAAACAACGAACTTAACCCTCAGATGTGCTTCGGGCTACAAACAACGCCAGCTGTCAGACGGAACCCTCACGTGTGAAGCGATCGGTGAGCCAATCATCAGCTGTTATTCGTGCACATATAAAAATGCTACTTTTCTTGGTTTACATTCTATAGTGTGCTTTTTCTACCGTTTAAAGAGAACATTACTTGTTTAGTGAAGTCGACCCGTATTGGTTAGTGGACCTGTCTCCTGCACCAGAAGGTTTGGGTTCGATTTTCACAACCGGCAAAATATTGTATGATGTAATGTTTGTATGGGTGTTTATATATCTATATTGTATATAACAAAAGAAAATTAAGTTTATTAATTATCTAGAACCCATATACAAGTTTTGCTTAGTTTAGGACTAGATAACGTTGTGTAGAAATATGCATGTCCTAAAATATTTACTTTTTTATTTATAATTTGTTTAATGGGCATAAATATTGCTATGTTTGACATTTCTCAAAATAAAAATTGCGGCTATTTATAGGTTTATATGATGAAAAGATATGATTCTATTAGACATTTATTTGTGATTTTAATAAATAAAGTGTCTAAAATTTTCGGCATCGCCAGGTTTCGAAACTGCGTCTTCGTAACGCGCCCAAATCTATATATCTCTTTATTCCATCTCTGCAACTATCTATTTTTATTCGGCGCCGTCTATCAATAAACATGCAAGTACATGGTGGCAATGATATGTGAGTGGTCGGTGCGGCCGTGTGCAGGCGAGAAGGCGAAGCTGGTGGTGGCGGTGGGCGGCTCGTTGCGCCTCTGGGAGCTCAGCAAGCACGACCACGAGCCGGAGCCGCCGCAGGATCCCGAGAGGTGGCCTTGCACTTCCACTCTTACTTCACTTTGTGCAGATGTTACAATACGAACTTTGTCCGCTATGTGGTACTGGGTGTGATAAGCGATTGTGTTTGAGGGCAGCGCGGAGATCAACTCGGTGGCGGTGGCGCCGCTGAACGGCTCGTGGTGGGTGTTCTGGGGAGACTCGCGCGGCCGCCTGAGGCGCGCCCCGCTGCCCGCCGCGGGCGCGCCGCTCGTGCACCGCGCGGAGACCATCGTGAGCATCTCCTCTGCTGCTCTCGTCGAACGGCGTCGTCCGTTCGTCGGTTCTGAAGGCTAGGGGCGGTCGCAGGTGCGAGTGGAGGGCGAGGTGCGCGGCGTGGCGCTGGACTGGGTGTCGGGGCGCGTGTACTGGACGGCGCTGGAGCGCGGCGCCGGCGCGGCCGAGCACTGGGGCGCGCTGGCCGTGGCGGCGCTCGACGGCCGGCGCAGGGTCACGCTGTGGCGGCGCCGCGCGGCCGAGCCCGACGACCTGCTGCTCTCGCACGACACCGGGTGCGCCACTCGACACCTCCATCGGTGCGCAGCCGAGGCCGAGGCACGGAGCCAATGAGATGTTCGCTCTCGGCAGCGAGGTGGTGTGGTCGGAGCGCGGCGCGGAGCCGGCGCTGCTGGCGGCGGCGCTGGACGGCGGGCGGGTGCGCTCGCTGGCGCGGCGCGCGCGGCGGCCCACAGCGCTGGCGCTGTCCGCCCCCGCGCGCCGCCTCTACTTCGTGGACGCGTTCGGCGACGCGCTGCGCAGCGTGGCGCTGCCCGAGGGCGGCGCGCCCGCCTCGCACCTGCAGTTGGCGCCGTGGACGCGCGCCTGCGTGCGCATGGCGGCCTGGGAGGAGGCGCTGTGGTGCGCCACGCCGCGCGGCCTGGCCCGGCTGCCGCGCCGCCCGCCGCGCCCGCCGCCGCCGCGCCCGCCGCGCGCCGTGCTGCACGCTCCCGAAGGTACTGCTACGTGCCCCTCGCCAGGAGCGCGTTAATTCCGGCTGAGCGGATACGACAACTACGCGCCCCCGCACGCCGTCTCCGCGCTGGCCGTGCTGCACCCCGCGCTCTTCCCAGAAGGTACTGCGACGTGTCCCTCGCCAAGGAGCGCGTCTCCGGCTGAGCGGACGCTTACACCGCTTCATTCTCGCCTTGTTTCCCTCATACTGTCATCTGTCATACCTATTTGCAACGAGCGCGGTTATCTTACTTTTCTCATATGGAAGATGTTAAACGAAAAGCCAGGGTAAAAAATGCTTTAAATTTACTAAAACGAATTTCCTACTCGTTGATTATAGTAGTTATGGACACATCTCATATACAGAGAGGCTTTTCTAAGTGTGTCCTTTTTTTTTTAATTAAATTCTAGATATAAATAGTGAATTATAAAGAATTATAAATATTTAAAATCACTCGTAAGTAATTAATTACATTCATTTGAACTTATCCCAAAAAGTGCGTGATTTATACGCAACTCGTTTATTTTACGCGCAATCATTCATAACTAACACATGGCCAAGTTCGTTTCAAAAGTATACGACACATTTATGATTCCAATTTGCTTTCATACTTAGAACGGGTTTAAGGCTGTCATAATAAAGGGTCATCATAATACTAAAATACTACTTTATCATTTTAAAATCACACACTATGGTTACAAGAATTAAACTTATCTATTCATTTAGTCACAAAAAAACTCTCACTGATATTTCAACAATTCTTCAAAATGGAGTCCATTTCTCGCAATACAAAGCTGAGCACGCTTTCTCAAACTATTTTTTAACATTACTTGTGTCTGAGCATTGTATACGCCGTTGTAGTAAATTGTCCAAAATCTAATAACCTTTGGTTGGCTGCCAAAATCGTCCTTCGATTAGGTACACTTAAGATTATTGCCTGTCTTTTTAAACGCGGTAAAGAGTCACATTCATAAAGTCTTTACCCACCAAGTAAACTTTCACCACTTAAAATGTAGCACCGTACCATCTCGTAATTAGTTAGAGACGTGGGTCCGTTGTTAGGTCACGGTGAAACTGAAACTAACTAAGGGCCTCAACGCGACTCAAGGCTATGAGCCTATGGAGCCTATAAGAGAGGAAGGGTCGTCTGCGATTTATCGTCGCGTGCGCTTAGTTTTGTTTGTGTGCGTGAACAGTAAAATTTAGGTATTTATGAATGACTACCGCATTGTCAACAAGTTCTGTTTTTTAGGGAACAGTATGGCAATTTTTAAAAAAAAAGAAACGATTCTGAACTTTCTGTGAAAATTTGGGCACTTCTTGTAAAGGCTCCCTGTATGTAATCACTACGTAGTTCCGCTTAGTCATTATATGTAAGGGATCCGAACCTTGTTAGATTTTGTGTGGCTCGGCAGCCACACAAAAAGATGGTGGTGAGTTTGTCCGTTTAATTGCGCAGCGGAGGACCCGTGCTCGGGCGCGGAGGGGCGCGGCGCGTGCCACGGCAGCGCGCTGTGCGTGCGGCGCGGCGACGGCGCCCGCTCCTGCCTCTGCCCCGACGGGCTCGTCGCCACCGCCGACCAGGCCGACGTCAGTATATCACCCTCAAACGCCCCGTAACGGGTTCCACGCGTGCAAAGCTTTAGACTTTATCACCTACGTTGCAAAACCTCATTATTAACTTCATAGATTTGTTAAACATATCATGATTAGCACTAGACGATTTACGTCTCGTATTTTATTGGTAAAATTTTGATATTTTTTGTTGATATATATGAGTTTGTCATCTTTGAGGAACGAAAATCTATCGAAAAACGTTTATGGTGCTTTGCAAGTTATTTTCATTACTTGCTGTAAAAATGGTGCGGGTATCGAACCTGTATCGAGCTTGACGCAGTGCAGCTAGAAATGTCGGCGTGTTTTGCGCAGGAGAAGCGCGAGTGCGCGATCGCCGTGGGCGCGGCGGAGGGGGCGGAGGGGGCGAAGGGGGCGCAGGGGGCGCCGTGCCCGCTGCAGTGCGGGCCGGGCGAGTGCGTGCGCGGGGCGGAGGGGGCGGAGGGGGCGGCGGGCGAGGCGGGGGAGGCGCGGTGCCGCTGCCCGCCGCTGTTCGCGGGCGAGCGCTGCCAGCACTTCCGCTGCGCCGCGCACTGCCACCGGCGCGGCCGCTGCGAGCTCGACGCCGCCGCTCCGCACGCGCCCGCCGAGCTGCCGCCGCTCAAGGCACGCTCCCGCTTAGATTGTCATATTGCGTAATATTCTATATGTCGCTATATACTAGAACATAATATTGTATATCACTATATCCTGTACGCGAGACAAATCTTGACCTTTTCCATGTTGGTTGAAAATTCGTAACGAGTCATAAATATTGATCAAGAAATTTTGGTAATGTTTTCTATATAAGAAGATGACAAGCGGATTGGCGGTTCACCTGATGTTAAGTGATAACCGCAGCTACTAAATTAATTACTTGTGTGTGTTTGGCAATTCATCTGATATTAAGTGATTTCTGCGATGCCCAAAGACAGGAACGAAATCCGTGGAAATGATGGCAAGTTTTAAAAAAAGTAGGCAGATTTTTTAATTGCCCCCTTCGTAAGTCTTTGTGTGGTCGAAATGCGAAAATATAGTATCTACATTTCACATTTGTCTTCTCTAACTTCATACTTGGATACTTTTTCGAACAAGTCTACCAATTCATTTATTTTTGGAAGACATATGGCCGCATGTAAGAAATTCAAGAATAACCCGTCATCGTTCTACACGTTAGATTTGTGCACCTACCTCGATATCTCTACACCACCCTAAGGTTGACTGGTAGAAAATGCCTTTGGCATTAAGTCCGCCTTTGTACAGGATTGTGCATAAAGTGTAAATAAATAAATAAATAAATAAATTCTATAAGTATACAAATATCATTAATATTTTTTTATTTTTCTGAAACTGAGTAAAACAATCGACCGGCACTGCCCAATGCTGTCGTCAAGGTGTAATCGTGTGTGTGTGTGTGCGCGTGTTGGTGCGCAGTGCGTGTGCAACGCGGGCTACTCGGGCGCGCGCTGCGAGGTGGCGGAGGAGCTGTGCGCGCGCACGCTCTGCGCCAACGGCGGCACCTGCCGGCCGCTGCGCCTCGCCGCCGCCTGCCTCTGCGCCCCCGGCTACACGGGTGAGTGCCTCCCCTGCCTCCCCTGCCCTCCCCTGTCCTCCGCCGCCTCCCCTGCTCTCTAACGCACCGGCGCTGCGCAGGCAAGCTGTGCGAGCAGTGCATCGACGAGACGTGCGACTTCGAGGTGAAGACCGCCGGCGACGACGACGCCCTGGAGGGCCTCTGCAACGGATTCTGTTTCAACGGCGTACGTATGCAACATCCGCCTGCTAATTAGGCCATGAGTGCATGTTCAGCCAAGGTTTTGTGTTTGGGACAAGCAATCAGCAGATTCTATTGCTGCATAAATGGACAAGCTCATCCGGGGAGATACGTCACGGCTATAGAGAACTGAAAGGCCAGCGCATCGACAAGCTCTAAAGTGCTTAATTGTCCATGGGCGGTGGTGATCGCTTAACCTCAAGCGAACCCCTTGGTCGACACATGAGGAGAAAAAACTTTCGAGTATCGGAGTGCTCGTGGAGCAATGAAGTGGTGCGCAGGGCTCGTGCCGGCCGGCGGCGGGGCGCGCGGTGTGCGCGTGCGCGGCGCAGTGGAGCGGCGAGCGCTGCCAGCGGCCCGCCTGCGAGGACGCCGCCTGCGCCCCCCAGCCGCCCCACGCCCCCCTCTCGCCCCAAGCCCCCTCCGCCACGCCCCCTCACGGTAAGTTACATTTTGACAAGATCAATTACATTATGAAGTTCGACCGCCGTATCCGTTCCTTATATTATTTATGCCATTGACCCAATTGGACTAATCGTTCTGCATTTAAAAGAAAATCTCGCGATTGTTTTTTTTTTTGTACTAAATCTAACCTAACCTAAACTTCTCTGGAGCATCCCAAGGTTGACTTGGAGATAATGCTGATGCCATTACGTCCAGGGTGATTTTTAGACGATGTACATACTTTTAAATAATGTTAATTGAGCATTCCATATTTAAAAAAAATGTTAATATTTTATTTTGACAAGAAACAACCAGAAAAATATAAATTAAAACATTGTTTTTAAAACAAAGAAGAGTGGTCACCCTATTGATAAACGGTTTAGTAATTATGCGTTCAGCGTAGAGTTTTAGTGCTCGTGAATAAATTATTGTATTGAGACGGTACGGCAAGAATTCCTAATAGTGTGTTAATATGTAAATAAATCTCTTTTCTTGTTCATCACTACTGGAAAAACTGGGTGATGAACATAGTTTTTTTCTATTATCTGGATATTCATGTATTCATTTACAAAATAAAAATATGGTTAAAATATTTATCAGTGACATAACTGCATAACTAGATAGTTGCAAGGTAAGTATAAGCTTTACTTAAATTGGAACAAGATCACGTTGTGTTATATATTAATTTACTATATATAACAAATCATATCAGATAATGTCATTGTAAAAGACTGATTTTTCAAAAAAATGGCTTCATATTATTTATAATAATTTCCACATAAAAATCAATATGAGCAGACATTAAAATCATATAAAATTTCAATGATGATAATATATCCGGTAGGTATGATGTAATTTATCCAAATGACATTGCAATCGCCAAGAGAATCGAGCCGGTCCGCCGCGCGCCATTTTTTTATTTTTTATTTTAGTTGAATTTCAACATTATCATCGGTCATTTGTTGCTCACCGTAACAGACATTAATTATAAGAAACCAAAGTGTGGCAAAAAATCTATTGAGGTAAGGAAAATATTAATAGAAATACACGTATTGAGGATAAAATTTGCGATTTCATAACGTAATTCCCCAGACCTTTACTTTATTTTACTCAAAGATACACTGTACACAATTCCTGTTCGCATATCATCGATCTGCAACCGATTGAAATAGATGTCAAGGATAAGAATATTGTTAACGTTGCTAAATGCACAGCGATAAAAACAGATTTAAAAAAAAAATATATTAAACAAATGTCAGCAAGATGAGGAAATCCCCAACGCAATGAATAAATCTAAAACTTTGATTTGTTTGTCATTTATGCAAATTCCAATTTTAAATCGGATTCTATCGTTTAGTACTTCGTGGAGTTGAGAATACGAGTTCCGCTTAATGCAAAAACTGAATGTGTCTACAGGGACGTTCACAATCTTCAACCAATACTTGACTTCACAAGAAACACTGCATTTTATCTGTGTTGTCCAATTAAATCAAATTAGTTAGGTATGTAACCTTTAAATGTCTTCATGAGAAAACTTATTACTTTATTAAAAGTCCATCTTACGCTATTAATGATACGTTTTTAAATTCCTTTTTTGTGTAGACAGAAGATGAGTGATTAATTTTTTTTAGTAAAATGGAGTTAACGTTTTTAGTCGCCGCGGGAATAGAACCCGCGTCTCCCGGGAACGCGCCGTGTTGCTTCCTGCGGCGTCAAAACTTTCGTCTATTTTCATACAAATTTTAATGATCATCTTAAGTGCAGAGATATATCTCTTTAAAACTTCATATGAAAAGCTAAATTTCATAGCAAAGGCGACATCACTCTCCCAAAATATCGTCGTAAAACGTTATCCGAAATTGTTTGTTTTATAAAGGACGCACTAAAGATGAGAAGAACATACTGCAGATGGCGCCGAACATTGCTTAGAATAAAAGAGAAAAAAACAAAGTGTAAATGAATAATGTTGAGATTTTCGTCGTTTTCTGGGTGCGATTTCGCGGGTTCGTTCCCGCAACAGCTAAGACTTATCGTCCCTTTTTCAAATATTAATGATTCATCTTACGTGATTATCACAATAAAACTTAATATATAAGTTTAGAAGATACGTGTTTATTTTATCATAAAAATATTAACATATAACCCAACGCGCTCTACGAGACATTTAGAAATACATTCACAACAATGGTTTGTAATATAAAATGTAGACAAATATTTTCAGCCATCACTTCATACGCTGTGTTCAATTAAGGTGGAAATTGAGAGCCTTTAGTAGCCCTCGTGTCACACTGTTAACTAGGGCTACCTTCGGGTTGAAAATTATTAATTTATGACCACTCCAACAGTAAATGCTTACAAAGTCTTGAAGCGATGCATTGATGGTGCGTTTCTGATTTTATTTTCCAGTTTTTCCTTAGTTATTTAATATACATCAGGTCGAGATATCACATTACAAATAAACCGCCATAAAATCCGTAAAGCGTCTTTATTCAAACACGAATGAGAGGTTAAATCAATATTAGAACTATTAAAAGTACTTATTTTTCCCTCCATAGCGCCAATAAGCGTATGCCGTTTGTCCGTACGTAGTTCCTCGAAAGAGTGCTTTGCGCAGAGTAACTAGCTCTACGCGACCTCCGTGACGGAGCTAACTCGTTTCCAAACAATTAAACAATTGCTTAGTTTCGCCTTGACTCGATTTACTTACGTCTGAAATAAGTCAACTATAATTATTACGTGTCCACGAAACTGCATTCACACCCTCCTTGTAAGAAGCAAAAGCAACACGGACTCACATTGAAAGCTTAATACACGTATTTCAAAGGCTAGCTTTTTGCATTATCGGGAAGAATAAGGAAAATGCTTACGGCACTATAATATGTACATAGATCGAGTGCACATTTATCGGATCTCAAGCGTCTTCCGAGCACAATATACTTGACATCTCTGCTGTGTGTGAGCTGGAGAATATTTAAATACTTTAGGCATACATTTTTTATCTATTAAAATGTTCGATGGCTCAAATAAATAAATCCCTATGTATTTTACCAATTTGCATTGATATAGTAGTTTTCTCACTGTATGCATGTAGGTATATTTAATTTGCAGAGTTTATTAAAGTCCAAATAATCTGCTTGTCACATAAAGGCTCTATTTACAGTAGAGCACTGTCAATAGAAATAATATTTTTCATTGTTTTATTATTATTCAGTGAAATAGAACACTTAAGAAAGAAATAGACAGAAAATAAATATATCCATATCCAATCAGCCTATTTCATCGTTAGGTATGTTTTTGATTTTATGTGAAAACGCTAATTACAATTATTGTGCTAAGAATAGGATGTTCGAACGAATTAATCGTTATTAAGTTATATTATTTACGTTTTTCTATTTATATAGTTGTAATTAACTGTAATCATAAAACATTTTTACGATTAATAGTTAATCACAACTTTGTAAATTATATACTGACATATTCAATAAAACTGTTATTTAAATGTTATCGTATAAAAAGGAATTTGATTCTTCTTTTTATGATTTGATTTAAGCGATTGTAGCAATTTGCTTCATGACCTATTAAGCATATACAAATAATACAGATACAAAGAAACTGGATTTGCGCAAATTGATACAAAATTTTAGCTGTTCAGACAGGGTCATGGTGAATATAAATAAGTACGGTGCTAATTATAATGACTTGACGCGGTGGTCTTGACGCTCTGAAGGTCAGGGTCGCTTACGCTAGGTATAGAAGGCACTGTCCGGCTACACCCTACTGGTTACAACTGTTTATAATAGTATCACAAGCAGCGCTGTATGAGAAACAAGAGATGTCTTACAATTGGAGGCTAGCTACGACTGTGGATCCATCTTCGGGCTTGAATTCCATTAGTGTACAACAACATATCCTTACCAAGAGATGTTCAAAATCACTGGGGGCTATTGTGGGTTAGCGAGACATTGATACTTTTTGACTGAGACTTTAAAGAGGATTACAATTAAATGTGTACGGCGACAAACCATTGCTTAATAATTTATGCGATCATTTCGGGATCTATTGCGCAGAGAAAATAATAATTGTAGTCTGCTACGCTTTGCTATCGCAAAGCGTTGTGCGTTGTAGCGTTCGCCCTGAAAGTGTTGTGTAGGAGTGGGAATATTATACTGAAGATAAGATGCTGTAAGTATCGAAAATATTGGTGACATAATAAAGGGAGGTAGATTGAAATATCAACCGACGTGCATGTTGGTACTTGCTAAATGTAAGATTGTGAAATACGATAATTTCAAGTTACCTCTTCGAATGATATGCGTCAAAGTCTTCGTTGTCCACGAATGGGCAGGTCCGTCCGGATAGACCACGAGAAGACCGGCGTGAAGTTGAGGAATACTTCTGCGTTTCTTCTGGTGAGTGCGGTAATCGGGGCCCACTTTATTAAAAGCTGGCAACGCATCTGTAACAAACAACCTGAAACATGTCTAAAGTTCCTTGCTGTCCCGTGACCATGAACGCTGGGTAGGGTTCGAAACGTCGGAAACTTAGCTATCTAATTAAACGCGATAAAATTCGTGAGATAGTTTCATTTTACAACAATTCCTCCGTTACGTCTAAATGATACATCGAAACTTCAATAAATAGATCGATCCATAATCCACCCGATCTTGTTTAGAATTAAATCGATTTAACAATACGCGTCCAAGGACTAAGACAATAGCTAAGATGTCGAGTTTTCACAATTATTCGTAATATTGATATTATTCGCTTATTAAATTTGAAACTGCTATGTTGAACCGATTGTTTGCTAACCCGTCGCAGCGTCTTACTACCGGTTTTTCTGTATAGCCTTGTATAACGTCAACGTATGACAAAACGATTCTAAATGACTCACGCTGTTGGGAAAGCCTTGCCGACGTTTGTCCGTGATAATTCCGCTAGCACGGGGCTTTCCCCTGCGTCCCTTCCTCTATTTGAACTAATTCTTGAATAAACCATAAACAACACTATTTATAAGGTGTTTGCTTTTCCCCGATGCCGCCCGAGTTGACGTCAAAGCTCACCGAACCAATCAATATTTTTGTGACGCAAAGATAAACGTGATATAAGATATGGCGGTTATGAACGTGCTTACAATTTATAATACTGTTACATTAAATTCATAGTTTATTTTTATAACAACAAAATATTAGAATGCACACAATAAAAGCTTTATTGGATAATGAGTGCATTTTAGGAGGTTCCGTTATCCACCACAGCTCTGAGGGTGGTTTAGTGGGCCAATAAAAATGTTATAAAGGCCACTGACATATATGAGGCCATAGTCATTTCAACTAGAATGCACCCTGCATTCTTGAGCGTTAGGAATAAAAAGATTTATATACTCGTAAAAGTTTTTATAATACTCCAATAATATACATAACACTCGATGAATATTCAACAGTTCTTAATTGGCGTGAAGAGATGACATAAATAGTGTCTGATCGGTTACGCTGGGGTAACCCTGAATATAACATCTTCAAGGGGCGAAGCCGAACGAGAAATTAATGATACTTACCTTCCTTTGTTATACGCTCCATTAACCTAAGGTTTTTTTGGGAGTTTTCTACTTATTTTCCAAATCAAAAGACAATTGACAAATGGTCTATCAAATTTATATCCTGTCATATTGTAATTTCATTAAATTTATATGCTGTAAATATTGACTACTTTGTGGACTTAAATTTAACGTGGCAAAACCATTAGGTATCAGTTACGAAATAATTCCATGGACAAAACTTTGACAGTACACGACACGCCTGTTATATAAATTTAATGATTAACTCTAATGAAATTCCGTTCAAAACTGGTCAAAGCGTCATCTCTAGGAGCGAAAAAAACTATATGGGAAAGTTTATGAACAAATAGTCGGTCCTGGTCAAAGCATGTACGCGACGGCGTCCTCGCAATGAATATTGTATCGAGCAGCCACGCCCGAGAAACCCGACCGAAACCCGTGGCTTTGTATAGTGCGTTTGTTGAATCAAAAACATCGCAGTGACCGAAGCCCTTCCATAAACATTTCGTGGTTTTTTTTTTCACCATTTTAAGCACATCCTCCGGTCCTGCCTCTAGCTATGGTTCGATTTTTTTTCGCGGTTTGTTTGATACTGATATCTTTGTGGAGAATTAAAGTTTCTTTGTGGCACGAGCTCAGCGGTATCACATGCATGCGTCGAGTATCATAACTACCTGGTATCAACGAGTTTTCGAGTATTGAAAGCCGTAATGGAAACAGATTCAGCTAAAACGATACTGATATATTTACGTCAAAAGGGAAGGTACAAAAGCTCGGATAATGGGCACCGTACGAACCCACTCTACATCGAAGTCTCGTCGTGAATGCCATATCTTCTTGAATAGGCCTTGGCCTAAGAATAACACAAACTTGCCAATGCTCTATACCCCCTTTTCTTTACGACAACGCCCGCACAAAATTCTCGCAAAGGTCCGTTGTGTCTCTTACAGGAGTTACAACTCAAATCCCTCCTCTATCCACCAGACTCAACAAACTATGAAAAAACTGACCTTTTTTCATCTTCATTAGCAATAGGAGGGATTGCAGAAGTACCACGGTGAATTTCTAATAAAATTTTAAATGATATTATTTTTGTACATACATGATGATTTTTCTACAAATCTTAAATTTCAATTAAATGGCAAAACAACTTCGACAGTAATGACCGAATACTTTGATCACTAAAATATTTTCTCCCTCCGTACATACACTATAAAGACAGTAAATTTTTGTTCTTTGCCTCTGAAAACTGTTGTATGTATTTCAATTTATTTACGATTTGTCAACCACATCAATGCCCTTGTGGTATCATTGTAGACAAATTTGGTCTCCACGGGCTTTCTTGTCATAAAAGTGCTGGCCGTTTTTCCCGCCACTGTTCCCTGAACGACATCATCCGTAGAGCTCTTGTTTCCATCATTGTTCCATCTATTTTAGAGCCCTGTGGCATTTTTCGCGACGATGGCAAGAGTCCCGACGGTTTAACATTGATCCCTTGGGAGAGAGGTAAAGCCCTTGTTTGGGACGCCACTTGTGTAGACACTTTGGCTGCCTCTCATCTAAGGGGTACTTCGGTCAGGGCCGGGGCGGCATCGGAGGCAGCTGAAGTAAGTAAATGGCGCAAATATGAGTCTTTATGTTTAGATTATGTATTTGTGCCATTTGCTGTTGAAACTTTAGGTCCGTGGGGTCCCCGCACATCAAGTTTTTTTAAAAGTTTACGTCCTAGGCTTAACGCCGCGGCTGGTGACAAGGAGCTGGTTCTTTTCTGGCTCGAAGGTTAAGCATAACTATTCAGCGAGGAAATGCAGCTAGCTTTCTTGGCACCATGCCGCGTGGATTAGGTTTATTAGATAATATGTAATTTTACATAGATTTAAACTTGTAAATATTAGATCAATAAAGATTGTATATACTTTATTTATTTATGTGTATTTTAGACCCCATTCTCCGCACATTGTATTTGTTTAAGTATAAACATTATTTCAGGCTTAAATTTTTTTTTAATTCACTGTACAAAATTGCGTGTGATGATCCTTCCCTCGAACAATGGTCACTTCAGAGCGCGCAACATTGTGACTTAGATTTCTCACAATTTTTTCCCTCAATAAGGAACAAGTTATGCGCGTGTAATTGCTTTATAATGGCGAGCGACCGCGAAACCTTATTGTGTAAAATTTAATACTCGAAACTTTTTATTGTAATGAAAATCTCTTTTATGACTTTTTAGAAGCTAGCTTTGAGAATCTTACACGGTATTCAGGCATCTAAATCGCTTTCCAATGCAATGTAACAACTGCAGTTGTCCGAGCAGAGCTCCTACAGTCTAGAGGGCCTAGCATCCGTCCCAGGCTGTACTAGGCCGTGTAGGTCGCGGCAGCGTTATCGAAAATCACCACGATATTAAGAAGGCCTTTCCATATTCCTGGTTCGCGGATGTATAAATATCGCAGTATCATAGCGTAATGCGGACAAAAAGCGCGATGCGACCGCTCCCACGCGGCTGCAACGCGGTAGAACGCGGCACATTGTAAACGCGCGTTTTCCTCAAATACACAGTATTTTTTATAGTTAATTTTTTGCCTCGGACCGTTTGTCTTATGAATAACCTTTTGAATGTTTCGAAACCACCTGACCGCGAACAAAACTTTTTGTTAATTATTTTCGACTATTCTAGTTATTATTCGACAGCTTAAATTGGATATAAATCGACCGCCTGTTCGTCGACAAATTTTACCTCGATCTGTTCTTTTTTTCCTTTTTTCCTTAAATGGAAGACACATAGTTATTTTGTTATCATTTTAACTATACTTAATCGTATCTTATTTTATTAATAGAATGCAGCATACTTTCAATATAAAAAAGTTATACTATATTTAAGTTCTAATACTACATACGAGCGTTTAGGGTTGTAATTTTGGCACGTATCTTTTGAAAATTACTTTATTGAACTACATCTCAATGGCATAATGTCGTATTGTCGATAATAGGGGCCGTGTTATCAAAGTCGTAGTATGGAACACAAAACGTACATGATTACCATGCAACAACCACGACTAACGCTGCCCATGGTAGTCCCGGACACTGAATATGCTTGTAGTTGTGTACACTGTGACGCGATATATCGCGCAAACAAATCAAAAAAGCGAAAACTGTTTTCCGCGAGGATTCGAACGGGTGACCACAAATCGCGAAGAATGTAACGCTACTAAATCCACGCTGACCGTCTGCGGTAGTAGCTTCCCTGGCAGACTTTCGCGTTGCGCCAGTCTAAAGGGGAATCGAAGCTCGCTACCGCACAGAAGTATCTCAGACTCGCCGGAGCGGATCAGGGCCGGCACTAGCCTCGGAGCGCGGTACGTAATGTCGGCTCGGACGAGCGGCCGCGCCACCGCAAAGGCAGTCGGCCGCGCGCTGCCGTCCGATCCGCCTGTACCCAGTATCGCGTTGCCAAGTCGGGAAGACTTAAGTCTCGTCTTCGCAACGTAAAGCTCGACGTCTACCGGCAACGCCGCAGTGTCTGTGGTGCCAAATGTGCGTTCGCTATGGTCCACTGTGGAGACGTATGTGACATGTTCGGATGCCCCTAAACCTAAGCGACCTAGTGTGGGAGTTTCCGGTGGATTTGAGTGCACTAGAAATGGGAAAACGGAGGCGCAGGCGGGATTATAACGGTGAGGTTTGTTCGGCGGCTAATCTTCTGTTTCCCAGTTTATATATGGGCGCCACAAAACAACACAATGATTTCGTGTGAATATATTTCTGCAATAGTTATTCAAATTGCGGTTACGTCATGAGAGAAGCTATATCTTATTATTCATTTTGAAATATTCCCCGTATTTTTTTTTTGGTTGACCATTTATATACTGAGTAACGTTGTATAGATTATTTAAGTTTGTGCTTAATAAACATCGTGTGCTCCAAAGTCGTTTAATGGAGGTTGTCGAATGTCGAAAAGCTGATATAAACTTGTAGAAAGTAAATAATTTTTTGTTTGTGATATCTTATTGTTATATATAGTTAATTCAAATATCAATTGACACATTTAACGCACCTTGAAAATAATGAATATATACTAAAAGTTATAAATATGATTTAGCTTGTTTATATTTTAAGCAAATTCAATTTCAATGCCTTTTTATTTTTAGGAAGGGTTCCGTTTAAATTTGTCCAATATGCGATAAGCTCTATGGGAATTTTTTTTAGATTTACAACGAACATCGAGTATATTTAATCTAATATGACAAAAAAGGTTGACTTTTTTTTAAATCGTAGCATGGTTTTTTTAAACAAATTTGTATTTTTTTATGTTTTCAATTGAGAATCAAGAAAAGTTATAAGGTTAATACCATTTCACTGTTTATTCATTACAGGCTAGTTGTATTTCGATCAACGGTCGTGGATTCAAATCCCAATCATGACTGGACTGCCGAAGTCCATTATTAGACATAGACATCTCCCGGGATCTTAGGCCTAGACTCATCACGATTAAATTCTGTTTAGGGGATTGCGTCGCCGGAGGAACATAAAGAACCCGGTAGTAAAATAACAGACGCCTTTCAAAAGAAACATTAAAAAGTAGTGCTCAGACAAGGATAATAATTTGCCTTAAGATCTGCTTAGGGGGTAACATTTGCCGTTTGACCGGTTTTATATAAATCTATTGTATAACAAATGCGATAATATAAATAATAGCTTCGCTCGAAAGACCGTCGATTGCGTAATGTCATTACCTCACGGAGGAAACTCCGAGCGCATTGAGCGAAGGTCAGGTCAGGCCACTTCGCTACCACTCGTGGGATCGATACCCAATTATTCGTGAGCTTTTTGCGCCACGTACTTACACTTGCGATTTGGATCTCATAATCATAATAAACCTCTCTTTCAAGGCGAATTCGCACTGATACGAAATACGGAAAAGTAAGAAAAATATGTTTATTGCCGCAAAATCAAGATTTATGTTTAAAGTTTGTATGTAGGGATGGTTGTTTGTAACTCTTTCACCCAAATACTACTGTATGGATTTTAATGAAACTACAATAATATAGCTTATACATCAGAATAAAACATAGGCTATAATTTATATACATATTTTTATGTATCTCTGTCTTTCTGTCTGAATGTTACGCCTTCAGCCTATTCTACGCAGACGTAGTCGCGGGCAACAGCTAGTTATAAATAAGTGTTAACATTTCGAATACTAATTGTAAGATGAGAATCTTTCGGTGACTCACTAGGCGAGCCTGTATCGATATAAATTTTTTTCGAAAAAATTTAATTTAAAATTTAAATTTTCACCTGTCTCTGATGGCAATTTTCTTTATATCGTTATTGAAATAAATAAAATTAAAAAAATAAAATGAAATAAATATTTGATAATACTATAATAAATATATGTGTTTCAAAAGTTCTAGATATAAAATAATACGTAAAATAGTATACAAATTATCGCATTCATCTTTCTAATTTTATTAGATTTTCTATTTCTTCATGTTCATTGCTTCATATTAAATGCATTACATTCGATAACCAGTTATAACATATAATGCATATCGCTTCAGATATATTTTTGTTTTGCGTAGTTTTTCAAAGTCACCTAAAATGCAATGCTGCGGCTTATTTTATTACTCCGTATACTATACGGCCTACAGTCTGATAGGTTGATACGCGGGACATTGACATACAAATATGGATCTCGTATATAGTTGCGTATTTTTTAAGCAAAAAATATATATGGTACTTTATTTCGTAATGTCACTTTAGTTTCTTAATGTAACTGTAATATATTCTCGTGGTATGGGAGGATTTCGTGTTTGTACTGAGAGGTCTATAAATTTTTATAACATATCTGAAAGCTGGACTAAAAGGGCGTCAATCATAATGTGTGAAGTGGGCCAACTACTCGTCTCGGATTCTGTTAAAATCTTTCATCAATTTTATTAAGTAATCTAACATTAGCCCGTATACTAGTTTCATACAGTACTTAGGGCCACTTCTATGTATCCGTCCTGTCTTATATGTATATATCCGTATGCATATCTTTATATATATATATATATATATATATATATATATATATATATATATATATATATATATAATTCTTCTGTACGCTTGTATGCCACTGAACTATAGCAATGAGAGGAATTTAGTACCACATGGTAGCTAAACCAAACCATTTTTTTAAAATTAAGTATCTATTAAATTGTAGATAAATGGATAAAAGCTTTCGGCGCTGCGGGATTCGAACCGCCGTCTTCTGGTTTCGCGCCCAAACGCTTTACCAACTAAGCTAAGCAGCCGAAGACTTCACAGCAATCTTGACATCTACGTTTTTTACTGCATTTTTAATAAAGCTTGACGCCAACTAGTGTGCATCCTTTACAGCATACAACACCTTACACATAACATTCAAGGATGAACGCCATTGCTCATAGCGAAGTGTCTAGTCTACCACCAGTGGCCATTGTAAAAATAATAATTCTGCCACTAGTGGTAAGTTCAGATATAATGTTATTCTGTCACAATAGGTAGACCACGAAATAATGGTATTCGGTGGATTCTTATAGTCACGATAATATAGCGGATTAGGTAAGGTTCAAAGTGGGCCACAGTTTCGGAACAGCCACGGTGTCGGCACAGAGCACACCAGCAATACAAACGTGCGAAGCAGGAATCTCGCGCCGGAAATCTTGAGTGGAGAAAGCCCGCAAGACCAGGATCGAGTGGAAGAAGCGACCTTCAGGGGCGAGAGAGCGAGGATTCTGTCTGCGCATGAAACAGTAAAATTTTACATTTGCGCCCTGTATACGGAAAAGTAGCGCTTTTTACATCTAACAAGATGTACTTAGATATTTAAGTCCTATTATTACTATATTTTCCCCTTTGGGGAAAATATAGTAATAATAGGACTTAAATATCTACCGTAAAAATAGATTTTTTACGGTAGATATTAATAATTGGAATAAGTCCCCAATCATCCAATGTTTTCGAACAACTGGTTTTATTGTCTGAAAATTTTCAATAAATATCATATTCCAATGAGTAGTAACTTGTGGCACAATAGCATTTTATGTTATAGGGGAACTATAAGAGTTATTTCCCTACGCTGTAATGTTCATGTAAAATTAAACTTCGTTGAATTGTGTTAGGGAACATTAACTTGAAGCAGAATAACATTACATGATCTTAGCTTGCCTTTAAAATAAATATATTTTTGTTAAATGGCCTCTGGTGGTAGTCTAGACACTTCCTTTTTTAAATCGGCTTGTAAAGGACTCTTCTGAGAAACGTACGATAAAAAATAATACTGTACTGATAAAAAATAAAACCGCATTGAGAAACCCCCTCCTTTTTGGAAGTCGTTTGAGAATTAATTTGTGCCGTTACGGTTAAAAAATACATATCATTACAATTTTACAATACATGGCCCGCGTATTAATTTATACGTTTATTATTGCACCGTAGCCCTTAGAAGGTAGACTCCTTGTAATTGTTGACTTCGTTAGTGGAGTAAGGTCCTGTTTCATTAACTACTTTAATAGTTTTGTCATGGTAATATAAGTGAAGATACCGAATAGTGCATACATACGCTATTCTCACCTTGAGCTATAGATGATATCTTTTGAATTTTTCTTAGTTGAACATTATAAACCACAGGTTACCTGAGATGATGTGGTATTAAGGAGGTCAAGGAGCATTGCAATAAATACTTAGGAGCATAATGAAGAGTTCAATTTGTGATCTATAAAATTTCAACTCTATATACGTATTTATATTATATTTAGTAAATCTTATTTATATAAAAGACAAATTCTTGTATATTACATGTATCTCGGACGGAGCTTTTACAATTTGGATCAAACTTTGTATTAAGATCAGATTTTGTTTAAATTTGTCTATATTAGTGTGTTTCTTGTAAAAAAACGAGATTTTACAAAAATAATCCTTTTATTCGAGTACTTCATTTTCCATTGTTCGATGTTTTAATTGGGCACATTTCTGTTTAATGTAATAATTCTATTTACTTTCAAGTAAAAACTCCTTAAATTTACTTATATCAAAGACCGAAACTCTAAAAATTAATATCATTTAAAATTGCACTTTATCGCTTATTTCTGTTACTGCTTTCTTAAGTATCTGAATAAAGCGTTTATTTGAGTCTCACTTGACGGCGTATGCGAGGTCCTCGATTCACAGCCTACACACGGTGCCCCCGCATATTTGCATATCTGTATTTTTGTCACTCTTGTGGTTTTTGTAAAAAGATTGTTTAGATAGGTATGGTAGTGAGTAAACTAAGCGTCGCCGAAATTTTTAATATAAAAAAAAATACATTTAAAGTTTCGTGACTTTAATTTATTGTGACCGATCGCTCGACGTCAGTATTTCATGATTAAATTGTAATTTCAACTTTATTACTTCCTCCGACAATGTAACTTACATTGTAGGTAGCGGTCCAAGACGAGAATCGAACCTCTATCTTAGCGGTCCTTGGATTGTATTGTGCTGGACATTGGCAATGTATTCTGCTGTTACCGAATTCTTAGTCGAGACTAGACCATCAGCTCGTGTGCAGTAAGAAGGGCGTTGAATGAACACCTTCATTTATAAACTGTTTTTACGACGTGAAAGATCTGGTCGAAGGTTTGTCATGGATAACATGATTCGCGTGCCTTGTAAGTCAATGAGGTGACAGCCGTTTTATTTTTTATGTGAGGAGGTGGCAAGCGGGCTGGTGGTTCACCTGATGTTAAGTGATAACCGTCGCCAAAAGATATTTGTGACGCCCTCACTAAAGTGGGCATCGGCCTCCTCGGTGAGTGATCAACAAACGCAGAAGTATAACACTTCCACTTCGCGGTACATCCCCGGATGAACCTTCCCGTTGTGCGAACGTGAAGAGTGTTGCGTGGCCCCACCACAGTTGGGGACCAACTAAATGGTTTATTAGTCTGCTGTCAACACTTGATCGATGTAGTGGTGTTCGCAGAGAGCGGCCTGCGCTGCGCCGGTCGGTGCCAGCACGGGGGTAGGTGCGTGGCGGCCGCGGGGGGGGTGTGCGCCTGCCCCGCGGGGAGGGGGGGCGCCACGTGCGAGCGCTACGTGGGCCACGACGCCGCGTGCGCCGCACTCGCCTGCCCGCCACCGGCACTGTGCGCGTGGCGGCCCGACGGTATGTACGCGCCCCCAAAGTACCACTCGCAATACTGTGGGAGTTTGGTTTGTGAGTAGTGACCGCTCAATTTCAAATGAGTCGTCTGCTCGTTCGTCTTTTTCTTCATGACAGTGAATGTAGTACGGGAAAAGGAATGGTTGGTGGAGGCTTTTTCAATGCGAGAGAGCCCTCGTTACCTACCACAAATGCACAAGTATGATTTTTTCCAATTTAAGTTTATTTTCGGTGAGACCGTGGTACTTCCCCACATGAGGTGAATGAATGAAATACGCTTTATTGTACACCAGACATAATTACAAAAGTAACAAACAATTTCATAAAGGTACAATTGGCGGCCTTATCGCTTAGTAGCTAGTAGTAGTTACTGAGGATACAATGATCAGTGAGAAGGGTGTGAGGTATACGCTATTGTAAATATAGGTATTATAGATACATGTACACAACACTAATTTTCACAAATAAATGAATAAAATAAGAAAATATATATATACTGGCTGCTGCCCGCGACTACGTCTGCGTAGAGGGGTGAAAATTTAGTGTTGTATGTATTTTTATATGCTGTATCATAAAAAAATAAAAACAAAAAATTTTGCCTAAAAAATAAAAATTTAAATTTTGCGGTGGACTACCCTTAAAATTTAGGGGTATGAAAAATAGATGTTGGCCGATTCTCCACCCTGGCCGACAATCACGCTAAGGATCACAAAAATCGGTCTAGCCGTTTCGGAGGAGTTCAAGTTCGAACCCCGTGTTTAATGTAAAATTCTTCTTTTCTGGTTACGATAATTCGACTAGTAATATTGACTTTACAACATGTTTTTATTAATAACAGTAAAAGGAAAAAATTAGATATGACGTTAGTGACAGTAATCAAAAATTGTACTCTCGCTGTTACTTTCAATAAATTTGTGGGTTAAAAGATGTAGTTTTAACACCCCGTGACACGAGAATTTTATATATATATATATGAATTAATACATATATATTTATATATACAAGGTCTATGATGATAAAAAAAAGTAGAGAACACGCTGCATAGAATTAATTGGATTAAAATCAAGGATTTGATAGAAGAGAAATTATGCTGTTTTAAAAGACCTGTCTCAAAATTAACCTGCGTTGAAGACTTTTAACACGGGATTTAACATCTATCGGTCCATTTCTGTTCGTTGGAAGCACGCAAAACGCCAATGCGTCTGCCACTTTTACCGATATCCCTCGTCCTGGTGGAACAGACGATCCTCTGGGGCCTGGAGAGCCGTACTGCGCGTGCCTGGACGGCGCCAGCTGTTCAGCGCCGGCGCAGGACGCTGCGGGCGGTGGGGCGGGGGCGGGCGCGGGCGCGTGGGTGGGCGCCGCCCTGGCGCTGCTCACGCTCCTGGCCGTGGTGATGGCCGCGCTCTACCTGCTGCACAGGAGGCGACGGTACTCGCTTTCAATCGCTCACTACTACAATTAAAATTTTTAGAAAAAGTACGAAAAGATAGTCGCATGCTGTGGGAATCGAACCCACGACTTCGGCATTCGCGGCCTGACGCTTAAGCCACTAAGCTTATAGTAGTAATCTTAAGTACAGAGATAAGCACTATAAAAAAATTAAGTTTAACTACTACAATGTTTACACTAAACATCATCGTGCTGCTTTACGTTTTCATCGAGAGAACAGATCAAATTCCCAAGTTCATGATCGTATCGATCAGAATAAAGTTTTTCTATACGTTTGGTATAACAAATTGTTATTGAGTCGATGTGAAAGCGATGCGATAATAAACGCCCAAATAGAATGAGAGTGAGTCATTGCTTTGCGCAGCGGTGCGTTTGTGCACGCGCGATTGGCTGACAACGTGGAGATCAGCAACCCGATGTACCTCGCGGGCGAGGACGAGCTGGAGCCGCGCGGCGACGCGCCCGCGGTCAGTTATGCGCACACACGCACAAACGCACAAACAATCACAAACACATCCCAATTAATACATCTAAGTTATAAATCAGGACATATTTTTACTATGGCTACTAGGTAACTGATATACATACTTTTGTAAATAAATAATATATATAACACACAGACACTAGAAAGACTTATGTTCATCATAAATATTTTTCTAATAGTGGAGATCGAACCCAAAATCGAACTTTCCCCCTCCCCCCCTAAGTTTAATATCCATTACGCCAATCGGTTCGTCAAAGACAAGATTGATTATTACTGAACCAGCATAAGTATGTAAAAAAATTGAAGGTAAAGAAAATGATTTTTAACACAAAACAATCATTCATAATCTTTTTCCTACCTAAATTATTTCAAAATATTTTTCGAACACAAAAACTTTTACAAGCTTAGTCAATCATGTAAATTCCACCGAACATCTATCACGCGATTAACAAAGCTCTTGACCGTTGCAGAACGGCAGCAACCACTTTGCGAATCCCGTATACGAGAGCATGTACTCGCCGCAAGACGGAAACCCCACCGAGGTATGCCATTACCAATGATGTTTTAAGATGACGCATGTTCATACTGCGTGGCGTTTAAAAAAATATCCCGCATTATATGACATATAAAAGTGGATGTGACAGGTGATGCAGAACGTATGATATGGAAAGAGTGCAGTCCTCGGCTTTGGGGCGGCTGGTGTCATGTCTAACTCGCATTTGTATATAATATCATAGGCCATTACAAAAAAGGTTGTTTCTAAGTCGAGATGATCTCTCGTCACACTCAAAAGAACTATGGATTTTTTATTTTTCTAGTGTACTAGCAACCCGCCCCGGCCTCGTACGGGTGCAGTGTAGATATTGAATTTCTCGGCTTTTTTATACTATATATAATATGAATGTATACATATAAACCTTCCGCTAGAATCACCATCTATTGCTGTTAACTGCATTAAATCTATCCCTTTCGTAGTTTAAAAGATCTAAGCGTACAAGCATCCCGATAATCCCACGCATATATATCATTGTTTCGATTCATAATAAGTAATTTATTATGTCACCATGAATACTGCAATATTCCAAATGTCCTTTAACAACAGAGTTTATACTTACGATATTTTATGAATTGATTCGATTCGTTTATAGATAGTAATTGGTGATGCAGCGGTAGCTAGTCCAGCAAATTAACTCCTTTACTCATGGATCCGTGTTAATTTTCAGGAGCGCGCCAACTTGCTGCAGGAGAGCTCGCCAGCGCGGCTCTAGGGAATGCGATACTCGCATATGTACGAGCTAGTGCAGCTACGGAAACCGTGGCCATCGACGTGAATAATCTCGAGGGGAACATATCTTGCTAAATCTGTCTAGATAATTATTTATTATTAAGGAAACCGATGACCTGCTGTAGCCGAAAATTCGGTATACGCCTGACATGTCATGGCTGTAATAACGTTTTAACCGATATCATAGAATTAACTTTTCAATCTGATCGTTGTAAAATAATATGTTAACTAGTATATTTTATATTAACTTTAGTAATTAATAAAGCACATATATGACGATCTTTAATACATAATCATTAGGTGGGAATTATGTTAAAATTTTGTGAAATCGAAGATGAATCGGAACCATAAGAATACCAACAATTCAAGAGAAAGCTTTACCTTTAACGACAGGACAAGGAAGTAAAGCGGCGGTTAGTAAACGTCAGGGGTGGCGAAACTATATTCATTTACGTGCCATTGTTCCAACGTTTAACGAGACCATAACGTGTCGTCAAGATGCATTTAACTCAATACTTTATTCGTAACAAGCAGTACGCATTTTGTACCGCATAGTAAAACTCACATTTTAATATTTAATATAACGTCAAATGCAACCGATAGAATTAATTGATGTAGTGATTATTGTGCCATTGGTTCGCCATCGCTGGCATACATGATTCGCCAATTCTCAAGTTGTCAAATTAGAAGATAAGCAACAGCCAGATCTGATGGAACTGTGGTGAAGACAACATAAAAGCGCACGGACATATCGAATCGTCTGTGGCGAAATCTAATCGGCTCTAATATTTTAAATAGCAGGTACATATCTTCGGTTTTATTTATACGCAGCGTAAGCTTCCATTACTCATTGATTACTTACTGCTAAGTTATAAGATATTTTTTGTTAATAACAATCACATCTCTGACTTTACTTATTTTATGACAACAAAACAGTGATCACATTTTCTATTGAAGACATTTTATACCTCATAATAATCATATGAATTTGTGACTTTTTCGGATACATAATAACCTTTACAATTCTTTTAAAAGAAATAATCGCAATTGTAGTTACTTTTCAACTCTTTTCTTTGTCGTCAAGTCGCACACATGCACGTAAGCACTGATAAGCTTTTCAATTCAACACTACTCGTATAATTACTACTTCCAGGGTCAAACCATAAATGTTTGCACAAAATAATTTGTTTTCAAAAGATAAGGTTAAGCACGTGCCATAACATTTTTTTTTACTTTTTTATTTTTCTTATGTGGCGTTTTAAGTTGTATCTGTGAAAATAATAAGATAAGGTCGTTATAAGTGTACAATTTTCTGTTTTTTTTAGGTCTGATTGTTTATTAAACCTTACATAGGCCAGTTTAGTTAATAAAATAATCGTGTGAAAAGTAAGGCAGCTGTGCAGTTTGTAAAGTTTTAATCGAAATGTAAGTTCATATCACGTAATGTATTTATTACCTTCATTGAATTATGCAATTATATACGATAACTAATACGATTCTCTATACTGTTGTAATCTCGATTTCTTATTTATTATTAGGTATCATAAATATTACGAAGGTGGTCAAATAAGAAAGTTTCTTGATAAAGTAAGTTTATTTGCCCCTACATATTTTAAAATTATAAGTAACATATTAGTAGTACAGGGATTCTCTCAAAACATGCATTTCGATAATTTATATTAAACGAACGAAACTGACATGTTCCATTGAACAAATGTTTTTGCAAGACTTGTAATATTCAACGATTTAGTATCTAGTTATAAATAAAATTGAAATAAATCAATGCAAACTAATAACTCGTTTTAATTTTCATTAATCATAACAATATTATTACATTACACGGTAAGTATATTCAATATACAATTAAAATTGAATTACAACCAAAGAGTACTTTTATATTTGATTACAACCATCGTTAATTGGAAAGATGTTGAACTTCAAAATGTCTGCTCTGCCCATAATGAATTCTGTAAAACATTTACTTTGGGCAAAAGCTTCCTGTATACACAGGGTATAATCCACCACGCGAAAAAAGATACCATTATGTTTGAACAGATTGATAAATTAATAACGATTTACCTATCTTTTTCTACGGAATGTTCGCTAAGGCACGATCATTTTAATAGTATTACTTTACTCTATGGACACGATGTTAGGTATGTGTCACTTTTTACCTTACAGGAGAGCACTTGACCTTTCACATATATAAAAGTACTCTTTGCACTTGACTAAACTAGAATACTTTTATATTCATTTGTTTATTAACTCTATGATAAAAAAGAATATCCTTTTCTTTTATAATTACTACATCGTTTGATATTTCTCACTATCGGCAGTATCAGACGATTAGAAGTAGTAGAAAATAAATATGGCTCGCAGTCCCCTTGTCCGTCACTGCCTCTGCTTCATTCCTTCAAACACTTATAAGTCTTTAGTGGTTTAATTGAGATGATTCTCCCAACTATAACTGTAGAAGAAGTTTAGAAGCATGCTTAAATAAAAATATATAAAATAAAACGCCATAGAGTCCATGAAAATACTTTATTGTAATGTAATATAATTATATTTAATGTAAACAATATAAATTCAGTGCTGTCGAGATATTTTAAATCTTAGCCACTTCCTTCAGCATATTTGATGATATCTTGTATTCCTGTTCTGCAAATTTTTAAAATTTACATTATTTATTTTTGGTGTTATACAAAAGTATTAAAAATCGAAAGTTCTGTAGAATTTTGAAAAATAAAAAAATCCAAAACTTATAATTAATGAAACCCATAGCCATATATTTATTTAACAAACCACTGTTAGGAGTGCGGACGTAACGGAAGTAGGTAGGCAGTGACTTACACGAAAGGGTAGGGGAATCAGAAATTAGTAGAACTCGTCGTCGTCGATGAGCTTCTTGGGCTGATTCTTGACCTGGTCCTGGGCGAGGTACATCTGCGCTATCTGCTCCGCCGTGGTGGCCTGCTCGGGCGTCTTGTCCTCGCGCACGCGCACGAATCTGAAGCATACACAGACGAAACAGAGCTACAGGAGACTGAGGAGGGAACAAGTGTGGAACGGTGGATGAGGGGGCAGGGGAAGGTCGTCCTGACCTGGGGAAGCGCAGCGAGACGCCGCGGTGCGGGTCGAGCAGGCCCAGCGCGGCGTGGTGCGCGGGCGAGAGCGAGAGGTCGGCGCAGCGCACCTCCCACACGCACGCCGCCTCCAGCCAGTGGTCGGGCGCCAGCGCGGCCGAGCAGCTGTAGTAGGCGCGCGGCGCGGCGAGGCGGTGCCGCTGCAGCGCCTCGCTGAGCTCGCGCAGCTGCTGCTCCGAGAAGCCGGTGCCCAGCTTGCAGAGCGACTGGAACCGCTCGGCGGCGGCGTCGCGGCAGGCCAGCAGGAACCCGCCGTAGAGGCCGGCGCGCCGCCCCCGCCCCAGGTACGCGCCGATCACCACCGCGTCGATGCTGTCGCCCGCGCCCTCCAGGTAGTCCTTCTTCAGCTGCGTAACAATAAAGTCAACTCTCAAACGTTTAACTCGAGCGACAAACTCCCTTTTGGTTAGTCTATATGTTGCGTCATGATACGTCTTACAACCACTTCTAACCTGTCATAAAGTGGACCATAATGACGATGACTCCGTGGCGCAGTTGCCAAGGTATTGGCTTCGGCGTCGGGAGTCGTGGGTTCGATTCCCACACGGGACGATTATTTGTTTGACCCACAGGTAGTTGTTTCGTATCTGAATTTTTGTCCGCGTGGAAATTATGTCTGTAAAAGGTCCTTACAACAGAACAATGTTATCCTAAAGTAAGGGCAATGTTTATACATTTAAAAAAAATTAAAAAATATTTTTATTTCTAAAGAGTACCAGAAATCAATTCTGCAACTAGGGTCGATGAGAATGCATTATGGATACAGTTCACAAACGGTCATAGTTAGACCAAATTCAATAGTTTCTAATATTTAATACATAAACATCAACCGACTTCAACTAATTATTATATTTTTAAAATTTCAATGTACTAAATGGACAGGTTTTTTTGTGAAGCGAGAATTAATATGTATTTTTCAAAACTTTAGGATGTCTTATATCCATTCCTTTGATGATATGACAGTGAAATGTTTATGTAAATGTAAGCACTCACCTTTAGCCAATTGTGCGAGCGCCGAGCGATGTCGTACTTAGAATTCTCCCCGGTCAGCATCTTCACCATGAGCCCCTCGCAGGAGCCCTTTATGGACTCCTCCAGGAACTGCTGCACCTCCTCCATAGCGGTGCAGTCGCGCGACTCCGCGAACTGCCACTCACCTGCAGTGCGCACAATCAGCTTATAAATAATAATAAATATTTCAGGACTTATTTTTACACCACATTATCTAGTCCCAAACTAAGCAAGATTTACACGTACTATGGATACTAGGTAACTGAAAAACATAATTTTCTTTCGTAAATAAATACATATTATAGATATAAAAGCACCGAATAACTAGAAAAAGACGAAATTCATCATATAATATTTTTCCAGTTGTGAGGATTGCACTGAAACCCTCTGGCGTAGTTTCGCTACGCCAATCAAGTCGACAAAATTAATCTGGTTAGGTTTACATTTAGAGAACCAAAGAGATGGTGATTAACATGGTATAGGTCCAACAACATTGTTTTTTGAAAGCGATAGTAAATAAAAATGTTGAATTATTGTTTTGTGCCTTTTCTAAATTTTAAGCTACTTTTATCTTATCCTACACTAGGTGGCGTTGGCACATGTCCTTTCCTTCCACTTTCTTCTATCAGCCAACCAGTCATCTCAATGCTCACCCCCCTTTTATTCCTTCTCGCAATGTGCCTATACGCATCGCACCTGGCACCTCGGCGAAGTTGTCGCGCAGCAGCCGGCGCCTGGCCTCGAGCGGCTCGTTGACGAGCGAGCGGCCGTTGAGCAGCAGCAGGTCGAAGAGGAAGACGCACACCTGCACGGCGACGGCGTCCGCGTCGGCGTCCTTGCGCTTGCGCGTGGCGAGCACCTGGAAGGGCAGGATGCGGCCGGAGCCCGCCTCGAAGGCCACCGCCTCGCAGTCCAGCACGCAGCTGCGCACCGCCGGGCCCAGCAGCGCCGGCAGCCGCCGGATCACGTCGGGGTACTTGCTGCGGCACGGGATTAATCCTTTTTAGGACACATTTTTACACAACACATTATACATATATAAACACCCAGACAGGTGTAGTTGCGAGACAGTGAAAGGCACCTGGTGTTGTTCTCCTGGTTGCGGCTGAAGACGCTGGCGTCGTGGAAGCGGGGCGCGTCCTCGCCGGGCACGTGTATCTGGGCGCGCTCGCCGTCGTACTTCCACTCGCACGTGAAGCGGCGGCCCTCGAAGCGCTGCAGCACCTCCCGGACGGCGCGCGTGGGCTGCGCCAGCATGGGCTTGAGCGGCAGGCCGACCGTGAGCCTGCAGTGCTGTGGCAGCGCCGCCACGCCGTGCTGCAGCAGCGCCCCCACCAGCCGCTCGTAGTCGGGGCACTCGCAGTACGTGCTCTTCACGATCAGCGCCTGCTCCTCGAGCTCCGCCTGCGATGGAACGCCTTTCGATGGAGCAATAAAGTTTAAGCTAACCAGTAACAATTTCGATGAAACATTAAAACATGTAAGTTACCATTTAAGACTAATAATACATATTATTCTCAAATGTTTTTTTTGTTGGAATGCCTTCAAATACCCTTTAAAGCTTATTTTCGCCGCTATCGACGAAATAAAGTCAACGTTTACTTATAGAAACTATCGTTTAAAAACTGCTTTTAAAAAATGCATGATAAATACTTATTATATCACACTGACCATAATAATGTGAAAATATTTCGCATGTCTTGATGTCTCATTTCTCAATAATTTATTTTGCATTACAACATTCACAAGTTGCAATTGTCAACGCAACAGTACGTAGCACGAATGGGCAGGTCTGTCCGTTACTCCATCTATCCGTTACCACAACCTAGCAAAAAAACAACCTGAAGTAAAGTTTTATACTTCTGCATTTCGTCTAGTGAGTGATTTAGCAGGGGCCCACTTGACTAGTTGAATTGTAGTTAAATTTTCAGTTAACACAGTAATTTTTATTAATTTCTGAAACTTTTTAACTGTATTTTATGAAACTTTTTAACTATATTTTCTGAAAATTTTAACTGTGGTAACAGCTTCGGCTGTTGCACGAATGGGCATGTCCGTCCGCGGAAGTACCACAACCTCACAAAAGACCGGCGTGAAATGAAAGTATTACAATGCAGTGTTTTTCGTCTGTTGAGTGAGTTAGCCGGAACCTACTTTATTAAAAGGTGACAACGCATTTGTAACCTTAAGATTGCTGGCAATGTTGCATGTCTATGTACACATCACCGGTTATGAGATGAACCACCTGCTTGGATGTCATCTTGGAAGTGTGGAATTGACTCTCGCTCTGCAATTGCATGTCCCCTAGGTGCTGCAGATTTTATACTGGAATAATGTTGCAGAATAATGTAATTAAAATACATTATCAATATGAGAAGACCAGAGAGTTTCTTGTCGGTTCTTGTCTGGTCTAGTCCAGTGAACCAGTGGTAGTTTCTTGAGGTGCAATAAAAGCGGCGGTGACCTTGAACTGGTCGGGGCCCAGCAGGGCGGCGACGTCCAGCTCTTTAGCGCGTGGCCCGGCGGGGGGCGTGCGCGCCGCGGCCAGCGCCAGCGCCTGCAGCAGCGACTGCTCCGCCAGCCCCACGCGCAGCTTGCCCTCCAGCGACCTGCAAGCGTCGTTATTTCATGTTATGTGATAAACGCCACCCATGGACATTTGCAACACCCGTGGGGTTGTAGATGCGTTGCCACTTTTTAATAAAGTGGTTCCCGGCTACCTCACTCAGCAGAAAATACACTTCTACTTTACGCTGGTCTTCTGTGAGGTTGTAATAATTGCCCAGACGGACCCGCCTATTCGTGCAACAGCGAACTGCTGCATGGCCCTACCACAGTCAAAACCGCAAACCGTCATTAGACCACACCATAACACTTTCACGTTAACTGATGTTTGCTTTGCGGACTTTTGCGGCCCATAGACTAATAAAGCTTTGTGGACACGACAAAACACACAGCTTATTGTCGTATATACATATTAAATGCAAGCTGCCCAATATTACCCCATAAAAGAAGTATATACTCCTTAACAGTGCAAATTAAAATGCATTGTTATTGAAAATTAATTAATCATTGTCTTAAAAGCACTAACCTTATTAAGTACTTAGCTTCTGAATGTCTACAAGCCACATACAGAGATTGAATTTTGCTGATTTTCTTATTTACTGATGCCTGTCCTGAAATGTGAAAATATAAAAACTATTGCATTGTTCCAAGAACTGTGTAAAAAAATTATTTAGGAAGGACAAGATAAATAAGAAGAGCCCTGCACAAATTTAAATCACATACATTTAAATTAGATCCCAACATAGTGTATGTAAAACTTTTTTCACAAAAACTAAAAAGTTAACTTAGATACACCAGCATATAGTTTTAGCATGTAAATAGTGACTTACTATGAAGCAGATTATTTTTCGTTCACATTGGACCAAGCATCTCACACTGAGTACGACGGAGGAGATGGTGAGTTAGCGCAATGCGGGCTCACCCGTGATGGCGGCCACCTCGCGCAGCGCGGCCAGCACGGCGCGCACGGCGAGCGTTGGCGGCGCGAACATGGTGCGCTGCGAGGCGCGCGCCTGCTGCGCCGCCGAGCCCAGGTCGCCGCACTTGTGCGCCGCGCTGCGCACCTGCGCCACGCTGCGCCCCGTGCACTGCCCCACCGCCTTCATCAGGTACGTCTCCGCTATGCCTGGTGGCGGGGAAGCGCTCCACATTTGTGATAGACCTTCAAAGCACTCTCGCGTTAAACGTTCAACGCTCCCGGGGAGGCGGAATAGAAAGAGACGGACCGAATCCTATTATTAAATTTAAAATAATAATTTATTGATTTTATTAATTTATTGTCATTACTAAAGTTTGTCTTAAAGAAACAATATGATTTCACTAAAAACCAATTTCTAATCCTTTTATTTTATTTTTATTTTTATTAGAAGTTTCACTTCTTCCATGTGGAAGGACTCCATGTTTTTTATTTGTATGTGAAAAACTGAGTGTTTAGCTGATGTCATGTGATTAACACCACCCAAGTCTGACTTATTGCAATGGCATTGCATTAGAGATCAATCATACACCAGAGAAAACATGAAATTAGATATTTCCACTTCACGTCAGTCTTTTGTGAGGCCTTGCTATTTCTCTAGATGTGCCTGCCCATTCATGAAACACCAGAAGCTGCTGAATGGCTCTACCGCAGTGAACAATTCTTACCCAGCTCTAAACCAACATATGCAGGTGCCAACTGGTTCAGGCACAGATAAATGCTTGGTAGGAGATCTTCAGGGGTCAGTGTGATAACAGATCGGAAGTAATTGCTCAATATCTCCACCATTTTTAGTCTCGCCGATGTTGCTTCAATAATTTCTAGTGTCTTTGCCAGAGCTAAATATGGCACCTTCTCGCCTTTCTTCCAACATGCATCATTGATAGGGTGATACTTGGCCTTCCCTGGATTGTAGTCAACCTCTAAAAAAAGAATGTATATTATAAACTAATCTAGCAGATTAAATCATTTCAGTTTTATTAAAATCTGTGTAGATTAATTAAGGCATTTTCAGTTTCATACTAATTAATAGGAAATCAGTAGATGAACTGGTTTTGAAATCCCTGGTAGTTATAATTAGTTTTATGGATATTTTAAACACCCAAATGTAACATACTACAAAATCAAATTTTAATTATATTCACCGGCTATAATAGTCTGTTCCAAACCAGATTTTTCAACATCATCACCTTCCTTGTCAGGAGTAGAATCTTTTGGAGATACACTTTCTTTTTTTAGAAAGGCACTCATTGTATTTTTGTTCTCTTTAGTTTTCTTTTTAGGCCCTTTCTTAATTTTTGGAGAAGGAGAATCATTTTCCTTTGGAGATGGAGATTTTTCTTCATTTTTGACTTTTATACCCTCATCTGGAGTTTTTGTTTCACTATTTTGCCTACTTTCAACTTTACCTTTCTTGGGACTTTCAATTTTAGCTTTTTGTTTACTTTTGGGTGAATTATAAGTTTTAGGGCTTTTCTTTTCTGTCTTTATTGGCATTAATTCTTCTGTTGATTTATTACATTCATTTCCTTCACTTTCTGAACTTTCAATGCGCTGTCTTTTTACTTTCTTTTTCTGTAAGTAACAAGTTATTAAAGTGAATATAAGTTACATTTCAACTGAAAATGATTAGTACTATTAACAACATATGTGGTAAGAAAATTCTGTATGGTTAAAGATAAGGAATTATTCATCATATTTTCTATTGTCCAATCAGTTCGTGTAAAACTATATCTCCCTATTTATACATTATAACTATTACATCTGTATGTATACTGTAATGAAATAACCAGAGGTTTGAGTAATATGTTTTTCAAATTTTGATTTTGTTTGACAGATAAATAAGTGTATTGTCCATCTACACTACAGAGCAATGAGCACAGTCAGTAATTAGACATAATACAACACATTTCCTTAACAGTCTCACCAGCCAAAATTATGATCTTTCTTATTAGTTTCAATCTTACTTTTTCGGAGGTTGTTGGAGATGATGAATGTGATTGCTTGGGTGAAATATTTTCAATACTTTCCGATCTTAATCTTTTAGATGACCTCTGAAAATAATAAAATTGTGGCAATGATTATAAGAATAATAATTAACAATTTTGACAAAACAGTAATTAACTAAAGATTAAGTTACAGCAAACAAATTATACTTAACAAAAGGTCTTACTTTCTCATTGATTTCAGGTGATTTATTAGTAGTCATGGAAATATTTTTATTTGATTTTTCCTGAAATTTAACATTACATGCAATTAGATTTAAATTACTTAGCAGTTAAACATAATTTTGTTTATATTCCTTTATTTTGATCGATTTTGCTCACTTGATTTTCATCGTTTTCATTTACTTCAACCTCCTTCTTTGGAGTCCTTTTAAAAAAAGAAGTTATGCTCTTTTGGGACATGTTTCTTGTATCAAATCTACTTGGTAACACTTGTTTTGAATAATCCAGGCATATCTTATGGGAAAATGAACGTGGAGAAAAGATCGAAACAGAAAATACTAATCTACTGGTTCTAGCAAGTTTGCAAATGTTCATATATTATATTTGAATACAATATTCAACGCCAACTTTTCCATATAAACAATTTATTTTACTATGTACAAATTAAATACTTTAGCACTATTATGAAATGAAATAAATGAAAAATAACATCTTTATCTTTATACGTTTGTTAACAAAATTAGGCGCCAAATATGAAAGATATTAACCATAGACCATAGATGATACATATTGACAATAACTGTCGATGTCAAGTGTCAGTGTCTTCATTTAAAAAAAAAAGATTTTATGGCCTCGTAACAAGACCTTTAAGCCAATGTCTTATTCCATTGAAGATATTTTCTTACAAAGATTTTAGAACCTAGTAATCACAATGAAAGAATAATTTGACATATGTTGACAGATTTTTTTATTATAATGGAAATAACTTTTTTATTTTATGACCTTTTTGCATTGTTAGTCCGCTAGACCTATTAGTTTGGGTAGAAGAGCTACCTAATAATTAGATAACACTAAAGCTTGAGCACTAGCTTAATTTGTTTGATGACAACACAGGAACGCTATCCACTTCGCGACCTCTCCATACGAGAGTAAAAAAATCGATCAACAAGAGGATACAGTTTCGAACCTTAGCTTGGACTGTAATTGAAAGATGAACCTACAGTGTGATTTCAAGAAATTATACAGTTCAGTGTTTCGCGTAAGTATAACACAAGGTGCGGAGAGCGGAAAAGACACTGTCCACTCAAAATTGATATCGATGGTTCGTAATGCAGTCTCTTATGATTTTAACAACTCTGTCTGGCACTCCTAACGAATGTATGTTTTAAACGAAGTAGTTAAGCCAGACTTGTCTTAGTCTTGATAGGTGTTTGCAATTTCAGTCGGTAAACTATATAAAGCTTTAATGGACACGGAGCTCATGGACACGCTATATTTCCACGAGCTTGGCAGAAAAAACCTAAGTAGAGTCACGCTCGTGAATAATGTATGCATTTACTCCAGGCCTTGTACAAAATTATCTGCGTTTACGATTGGAGGATTGGGATAATTTTAGACTTTCTAAAAGAACCGTTTTGTTTTATTTATAAAGTGATCACGAAACTTCGAGGGACTGAAAGCAGATGTAGTGCTGATGAATTTATTTTGTAAAACCTGAAGTTTCTTCTAATTGGCTCGAGGAACGTGCGCAAATCACATGCAAGAATAGAACAATATCGGTCTTATGGAAACCTTGAATAAAAAGGGCTCGAGGAACGTGCGCAAATCACATGCAAGAGTAGAACAATATCGGTCTTATGGAAACCTTGAATAAAAAGAGCTATCACCTTTTACGGGTATTTTGCTCAAAGAGTTCGTGAGGGAATACAGTCGGTATATAGCAGAAATCACTACTCCCTTACATTATTATATGGGTAAGAAATGACAATGAACATCAGAAATGACTCTGTAAAACGCCTTTGCGATATCGAAGAAGGGCAATGCACGTGATCATTTAGGACGGGGTTGGTTAAGCCCTATGCACATCTGGAATGTCTATTTAGTTAAAGTAGAGAACGGTATGGGTTTATAAGGCCCTACTTTCATCTTACGGACTAACTGCTAGTAGGCTCTTGATCTTCCAGTAGGCCATTTCGATATGCTTCGGTCCAATTCCAATCCATATTAGTCGTAGATGATGAGAGGTATGGTCATGATCAGGCAAGGAGCAATTTTTAAAGATATAATAACGAACATAACCCTATCTACTTATGTTTGATCTAGGGATGGGTCCGAAGGCGAAGCCGCGTATTTAATTTTCACTTTCTCATCAACTTTGCGTGCACGGGGTTTGTAAGTTTGTACGTGCTGGGGAAGCATTGCATTATGTAAAAAATATGATGTATTCAATTATATGACTAATTCAATTCGTAATCTATATTTATAAATTACATTTTAAGAATAATAAAACGACAACAATGAAAGCATCAATGATTGTCCACGAACAACTTTCGAATGATCTCATTCGCTGGTGTATATATTAATCTTCGTTTCAATTGGTGAACAATGATTCGATTGCATAAGAATGTGTTTTTAAATAAATAACGAAAAATGATCTATTACAGAAAAACATGCATCAAGAAGCAGTTACTTAATTAATTTAAGGATATAAACATATTATATTTTTAAAGTTTTTAATTATTTTTAAATGTTTCATCATCATCATCATCATTTCAGCCTGTTTGAGTCCACTGCTGAACATAGGCCTCCCCCACAGACTGCCACGAAGTACGATCCTGAGCCACCTGCATCCATCGACTTCCCGCACATTTGCACAGGTCGTCACTCCATCTAGTGGGGGGTCGTCCTACACTGCGATGGCCAGTACGAGGCTGCCACTCGAGAACCTTTCTTCCCCAACGGTTATCGGTCAACGGTATATGGCCGGCCCATCGCCACTTCAGCTTGCTAATCCTCTGAGCTATGTCGGTTACCTTGGTTCTACTGCGGATGTCTTCGTTACGAACTCTATGTTTATTATCTGCATTTATTAGATGTTGCTATTATACAAGAATAATAAATAAATTCAAAAATTATTATTTAGAGATTTAGAGATAAAACAAAATATTGTAAGTATTATTCTATAAACTGAGTAATATTGTATTATATAATAAAAACTCTTTTAATAATTATACTTTATCTCAGTAAAATTTTATGCATTTATGGCCGCATTGAATTAAAATCTAGAACTTTATTTTGCTAAGATGGCGCCCTCTAGTACATGAAGTGTCAATTATACGCGTGTCGTCCATGTTCCGAATGTGGTGTGACTTATTTTTGTTTTGTGTTAGTTTTCAATATAATAATTATAAATGTGAAATGCTTCAGCATGTGTTATCCCATATAGTGGAACCTTGCTCCGGCTGAATGGATCCCGCCGTCGCGTGGTATCAGCCCGAGCAGGAAGGACCCGCGAAGCGACTCTGGCTTCGTATCTGGGAGACTCAAAGTGAAATAGACAAAATGAACTTAAAAAATTTAGAAAACGCTAACCCCAATGTGAACAAAGCTCAAGACTTTATACCAATAAATGATGTAAATGGTGAAAATAGGAATAATAATTATTTTAACCCCGCGCGGAGGAAAGCGAACGACAACCGCGCATCTACGTTTAACCTGAACAAAAACCACGATGCGCTCATAGGTGAATACGGTGGCTGTCCTTGGAGGCTACCGAACTACAATTATAAGCCTGGTATATTAGGGTGAGTAATCTTTTGTTTTTGGGACATTACGATGTCATGTGGTCACGCATGACACGGAGGTGTGGTGGTGAATAGGTTGCGATTAGCGAGTTGCGATCGGCGTGGTGGTGACAGCGCACAGCGCGGGCCGGTTGTCACTCCTACCTGTCAGTGGCATAAATTTTTATCAATTTATTGCACGTTTATCAATAATTAATTCTGCAATTATTTGGGGTTAGATTTGGTCGCATTCAACCTAACTAATTAATTTCTAGGGCATGTAATGTTGTTAACATATCACAGGTTATATCTTTGTGTTAACTTTCTTTAAAGGGTATATGTTTAATTCGAGTAGTATAAAATAAATTGCAGTTTGGTATAAGAATGGTCCAGTGCCCAGTATGTGTTCCTTAATTCAGTATTAATTCATTTATTGCATGTAAATTATTCCTAGATATTATATACAACAAAGTAATAAGATTTCTATTACAAATCCTAAAGGAAAATATGTAATCATTTATTTCATTATACATAGGTATCTTAACTTTAAAGAATATAAACACAAATGGTTAACATTACATATTTTCAATAAATAGAGAAATGTCTCTATGGATATAATAAATGAAATCTACAGCTTCAGTAATGTCCAGTAAAAATCACAAATAATTTGAGTATGACATTCATTTTATGCACATAGTTTAAGACACGACAAGTCCAGGATACTTAAGAACGTAAATTACAAATGAATATTTCTACTTACTAGGTACACTTTATAAACAATTTCTAATATTAAGATACTCTGAACAATAAAAAATCAATGCAAAAACAATTCTGTAACAGTTACACCATATTGAAATACTGCTTTGTATCAATAAAAAAACAATTTATTTTATATATTTTATTATTAATATACTAAACTAAATCAATTAAAAATATTCATAGTTACCAAGAATTAAAGTTAATTCTTGTAAATTAGGTTTACTTTTCGCTTATATATAAATATAAAATAATTTCTAAACCAAATAAAGAATTCTTTTTCGTAAATAAAAACTGTTAAGTTCTATGGTGAGTAGTGTTACTATGTATAACTATTTAACAATTTTATTAGAAAGAAACACATTTTTACTTATAAGGTTCAAAATGAGTTACAGATCTGACTGAAAGTACTCCAATTCCATGTGGTCTTGTGGTCCATACCCCAAGAGTGAATATAATAGAGTAATAGAGTTTAACTAGAGTTAATAATGAATTTTCACGGAATTTATATGTAACCATCAAATTCTGTTTATTGATTTATTCATTACTGATTTCTTTCTATAGAGTTAAATTAGTTTTAATTGCAATATTAATTTTGCTATATTCTGAACATTCACCCCTTTACATTATATACAAAGTATTTGATTTGCCTCAAAAGATATATATCATGTTGCCATTATAACTTTATTATTATTACTTTTATTTTTATTACTACTATTACTTATTTACAGTTGTTTTATTGATCTAATATGTACAAGATCTAATTACTTATTATGTAGATAAAATTATGCCACTACATCTTTATATGGTCAAAATTTTGTAAGTTAAAATGCTTTGCTATGAGTAAGTTCTGTAACTGTAATATATCAATTACATACAAGTATATTACTCAAATGTGTGGCAAACATCCAATTAACTGGCATTGTAACAATTTAAAAATAATTAACTTGCCAACCATTCATCTGTTTTAATTTTAGAACAGTGATAACGAAATATTACTTTATGTATTATAAGTTTGTTTTAACAATCATTCTATAATTAATTGAATAACAGTTCCTCTTGCTCAGTAAATCCTTGTGTATTGTAGCCAATACTGGTTGTGTTATCTATTTAAAGTAACATTGAAGTAGTTAATGTTGTTGATTTTTAAACAATTTTTAACTTTCAATTTGTTGTTATGTGTTGTTTTAGAGTTTAATTAGTAACAATTTCATTATTTTGTATCTTTGATCTGTAATTAAAACATTGAAAATGAAGAATGAAATTAAGGGTAAATTAAAACTGCTTCTTTAACATATTAAAAATAAAAAAGGAGGCCATAAAAGAATTATTTTTAACATTGAATCACTACCATGTTTAGGAAATCCCAAAATCATCCCAAATGCACATGCAGAATAATCTACTCCTTCTTCTTCTTTGGATATTTGCTCATAATTGAGTGTTATTATAGTAGCTTAGCACTTAGTAGCTTCTACTGCTTCCGTAAGGCATTTGCAAAATCTCTCAGGAGTGGTGGATTTCCATGCGTACTGGTAATCACTAATATAAGGTGAACCACCTGCTCGCTTGCCAACACTTTGCCTTTTCACGTAAAGAAAAGAAATAAAAATCACGTAATATATCGTAAGTTCGTTATTCATGTTTCAAGTTGGCTAGCTTTTATAGTACATAGTATGATTTCATTTACATAAATATTTTCAAGTCATTCCGATTGTTAAGAAGATCATTCTGATCAATTCAGAGAATTTAACCATCCTTTGGGCAAGTTAAATGATATTTGAAAAGCTATTTGACTGTTGATTAGTTAACTTCTACAATGATCTGTGTTTTACGGGGCATGTGTGTGTGTAAATTGTCGGGTCTTAACATAAAATGGAAAATAAAATTATCAAACTACCCTCATTCTCCATGAGCGACTTAAAGAATGTGGGTCATTAAGAAACCAAAGAAATGATTTCTTTTACTTATAGTAATAATATTATTCTATACATGTGGTATGCATACAACTATATACTAATCATGTCTGCAAATATTGTATTTTTCCATTTCAAGAAGCTATTCTATGGCACAAACTTCAGGCGTTTTACATTAACGACGTAATTGTATGCAGTTAAATAACTTTTGCGCAGAATGAACTTAGTGATTACTTCGCGCGTTTTGTGTTTTTAAGTTCCAGACCCTTCAAACACTTATTTCACACTTACCTCGTAATCTCACTAGCCAAGTCGGACTCACGGCAGGTTGAGTATGACATTATATCGTAAAAGAGTGCTTCAAAACGTTGAGATAAAAAAAAAAATAACGGGAAAAAATAAACTAGAAATAAGAAATAAACTTTATTAAGAAAAAGCCAAATTAAAGTTAAATTTATTTCTGACCCCCACACTAGGCAATGCCTGTCCTATGGGGGTTAGTTCTTGACGATTTCCAATGTTATGCGGCAGTTGTAGCAATCCATAAAAACAGCTTCATTTAACAATCTGGGTGTTTGCTGCGTGAAATTTATGTATGTAAATCGTCCTTGCAACACAGGATAGTGTTATCCTAAAGTAAGGGCAACCAAAAAAAAAAAAAACAAAAATGTTTAATATTAATTGCTGGGTAATGGTTTATATTGATTTTTGTAGATTGTAAAAAGTAAATATATTTTTTTTAATTATTTAAATTTTTATTTATCTAAAAAAGTAGTAATAAATAGTAAATATTGCTCTTTTGACGACATAATCGTTACAACATTCATGCTTGATAACAAATACTTTGTGGTAACGCGTCCAGTAACCGTGGCAACTGTTTGGACAGCGGAAATTTCCAAATGCGTATGCCACCAGCCCGCCGCGACCTTCCCGGCCGCAGTCAGTGCCCTCTGGCGGCGAGTGTCGAACCGCGAAACTTGCGACATCGGTTGCAAGTGTTACGTAAAAGGCTAGCGTTGCACCGGAGACCACTCGAACTGACCCGAGCGGCTTTGTCGGGCGATTGACGTGGGAGCTCCGAGAATACTGGTTGTTTGAGTCGTTATGCTGTTCAGCCGTTGTTGGTTATCTGTAGACTTTATTTTTCTACACGAATGTATACAGCAGGTTGGCAACATTTCACTGTCACCAGGTTGGCCGCCGATGTCTGCAATCAGTTTGTTGATTAATGGTTTTAACTGACAACGTAAGTAGGCAGGTATGGAAATTACGCAAATAGGAAAATGTGAAAAGTTGAGACTTTTACTTTCACTAATATGGGTTATATTAGTGAAAGTAAAAGTCTCAACACTAGAGTGCTCTGAAATCAGTCAGCGTCTGATTTCGGAATCCATCAGAATCGAGGGAACGACGGTCAACAAACACTTCTCGCAACCATTTTGAACATTCCCCTCTGAAACGGACTGACGCCCAGTTTTTGAAACACTGATCATCGTAGAAATTGACTAATCAGCTGTCAAATGGCTTCTTAAATGTCATTTGAGTTGCCAAGAGGGTGGTTAAACTTTTTGAATTGATAAATCCGATCGTTCTGAACAACTTTTACTTATTCAACCATACATTTCCGCTATCCGCCATCCTATTACTTGCTATGTCACAGCGTTTATCATTAGGTACATGCAAGTGGTACAATACAAATTCATATTACGAACACCTTGGAGCCCCGATGGCACAGTGCCCGAGCGCTAGCAAATAATTCAATATACACGAGCAATCCGAGATCAAATCCCGACGCCGGGACCAAAGGCTTAATCCTTTATATTATTTTAAGTGCTGACTTGTCACGTGTTCAGCGGTGAAGAAAAACACTATCTAAATATGTACTGTATTCCCTAAATGCCTTTATAACTTACTGTACCTTTTTCTTATACAAATTGGATAATCGATACTCCATATCGCTTGCAAATCTTGTAGGCTGTACGCGGTTACAGAAATCTGTTTAAGATGACAGCCCCGCTCTGCACATACGGGGTGGCGCCCTGTCAATGCGCCGCTCCGGAATTTCCGCAGCTCTATAAAAAGCGACATTATAAATTGTTGGCAACCGACGCGTAAACAAATGCCCGATGTTGCCTCTTCGTTAATCGAGATCAGCTGGTGCGTGTTGCGGGAACCGTTTGACAGAGGCGTCGCGGTATATGTCTCTCGTACCATTGTTTGTGAAACGCGGCAGATTGGTAACCCACGTGGCTACTTCTTCAACCCGCTACTTTTGCGTAACGCCTGGCCTAGCCAATTTTTTTACAACTCATCTATTATCTCTATATAAAATGAAGGCCTATTTCCCTTGGT